CTTCATCCCTAATGCTTCATCACTTCCCAATCAAGTCCCAGGCTGATGGCCAACTTCAACATACGGCCTCTGGAGACTTTGAAGATTCAGCCTATAGCAGGTAACTGGAGCAGGGGGCCTGCAGGAGAGAGGAGACTGCCTTCGAGAGGATGAGCTGTATTGAGTCAAAAGAATGCACATCTGCTTCAGGGGACAGCACATACAGAGATGCCCAGGCCCACAGGCACACACAGAGCTCCACAGACAGACACACATACATAGACAGGTATACACAGAGTCAGACAGGCACACTTGCACGTGTGTGCATGCACACACACACACAGGCAGGCAGATGCGTGTGCAAACACACAGCACTTGCCTCCACTAGGACTGGTAGGAAAAGGTAAAACAGGCTACCACATGCCTCTCCTATGGGCAGGGGAAAACCAAAAGAAGACAATATAGTTTTGCCAGACCATGCCTTTGCAGCCTCTGGAGTGCAGGCTTTGGTGAGAATGAAGAACTCACCAAGTTCAGGGCTGTTTGTGTAATTGTTCCAATTTCCTTAGTTAAAGCTATAATTACAAGCTGAGGTTACTGGACCCCGGTACAGAAGTGCTGGCTGGGATGCTTTTCAGCTGCCCACCACGGGGATGCCCAGTACGGCCTTTCCTAGCGGTGCTGGGTGTTGCTTTGTGGGATTTAGCTAATGAGAGTAAGGCTTAGTAAGAGGCATGGCCTTGCTCAGGTGGTGAGTGGCGGAGCTGGACTTGAACCATATGCTCCTTCTCCAGAAAAAGGCTCACCTTGTCCTTAATGCAAATGTGCCTGTACTTGAAGATGTAGTCACTGCCTGGGGCAGAAGGAAGGGGAACCTGTAAAGAGAGCTAAGGACCTAGCATAGGGGTGAGGGAAGCTGGTCTTTCCCCCTCTTGCTGCTTGGGGAAGGCGCGGTCCCTGGGTGGAGTCCGCCCACAGGCTTTCACCTCAGAAGTCACAGGAGTGAGCCTCGCAGCGAGGCATTGTCCTCTTCCATTTTCTTCCCATCTTAAGTGTGGGCATTCTGTTCTCTTGAGAAAGCTGAGTGGCAACGTATTTGGGAACAGATCCTAGTCCTGCTGATGCTTGGGTCAGATCCCAGTACCAGCGAAGAGACAGGGATGGGACTGGCTATGGAAACTGACTTGCCTGCCACTGTGCAGACTGGGGACACAGAGGTATCCTAAAAGAGCCACCTGCCGACAGCAGAGATGAGAAGTGTGAGCCCCATGTGAGCTGGACCTCAAGAATCCCGTGACATGCAGGGGTGGCTGAGGACCCACTGACGCTGTGACCCATAGTCTGGCTGTTCCCGCCTCTGTGGCTAGTCCAGGGTCATGGTCTAAGCTCTCAGCATGATGTCACTGAAGCTGCCCCCTGTGAAAGTGTCCATGCTGGCTGCTGTCTTGGGCATAGTCCAGCAAGATGGGGCTTCTCAGTTCCATCCTTTGTTAGTGAGGAATGAAAAGGCCACAGAGCTGGTGACTGGTGTTCTGTCCTCCTGATTCACCGAGCCCCACCTGCCCTGTGCTGAGGAAAAGAGCCCAGAGAAGCCATGCCTTTGTGCAGATCCTCCTGACCGGGAGGAGTCCCTCCCCTTCCCTCTGCTCCCTTAGATAGTGGTTCCCAACTTTCCTGATGCTTTGACCCCTTCTACAGTTCCTCATATCCTGGTGACCTCAGACCACACAATCATTGTCATTGCTACGTAGTCACTATAGTTTTGCTACTGTTATGAACCACAATGTAAATACCTAATGCGCGATCTTCAAAGGGGTGATGGCCCACAGGTTGAGAACCATTGCCTTAGAGTGACGCAGGCTGCCTGGTTGTTGTCCATTGTGTACTCCCTCCCTAAGCTTCCTTCTCCTTCCTGAGGCCAATTCCCTTGTTTGTTTCCTGCCTTCCCATGATGCTTGGACTTCCAGTTTCTCTTCTTTTAATTAGTTACTTATTTTAGAGACATGGTTTCTCTATGTATCCCTGGCTGACCTAGAATTCACTATGTAGACCTGCATCTGCTTACCAAGCTGGGATTAAAGGTGTGTGCCCACACTGCTTGTCTTCCTTAGCTACCCTTGGTCTTCCTCTCTGCCTCTGACTTGCCCTCTCCCTGGGGGCTCATCACTCGGTGGCTGGGAGCACCATTATTTTGCTTGCGACTCTACTTATTTTGAACTCGACTGAGATGTGCGCCTGGATCTGAGCTTCTCTCCCACACCCCCTGCATGTCTTTTCTGTCACCCAGTGCTGAGACAGAAATGACGGAGTTTTTCCCAGGGCCCCAGTGAGGCTGCCAGCAGTGATCGCTACTTCCCCAGGGCAAAGCCTGCCTGCCTCAGCCCCACCCCATCTCACCTCCACAGCCACAGTCACCTCTGTAGCCACAGTCACCTCTGCAGCCACAGTCACCTCTGCAGCCACAGTCACCTCTGCAGCCACAGTCACCTCTGCAGTCAGAGTCACCTCTGCAGCCACAGTCACCTCTGCAGCCACAGTCACCTCTGCAGTCTCTCTGTCACTCTGCAGTCTCTCTGTCACTCTGCAGTCTCTCTGTCACTCTGCAGTCTCTCTGTCACTCTGCAGTCTCTCCGTCACTCTGCAGTCTCTCTGTCACTCTGCAGTCTCTCCGTCACTCTGCAGTCTCTCTGTCACTCTGCAGTCACTGTCACTCTGCAGTCACTGTCACTCTGCAGTCTCTCTGTCACTCTGCAGTCTCTCTGTCACTCTGCAGTCTCTCCGTCACTCTGCAGTCTCTCTGTCACTCTGCAGCCACAGTCACCTCTGCAGCCACAGTCACCTCTGCAGCCACAGTCACCTCTGCAGTCAGAGTCACCTCTGCAGCCATAGTCACCTCCGCAGTCACAGTCACCTCTGCGGTCTCTCTGTCACTGCAGCCTCTCTGTCACTCTGCAGTCTCTCCGTCACTCTGCAGTCACTGTCACTCTGCAGTCTCTCTGTCACTCTGCAGTCTCTCTGTCACTCTGCAGTCTCTCTGTCACTCTGCAGTCTCCCTGTCACTCTGCAGTCTCTCTGTCACTCTGCAGTCTCTCTGTCACTCTGCAGCCTCTCTGTCACTCTGCAGTCTCTCTGTCACTCTGCAGTCACTGTCACTCTGCAGTCTCTCTGTCACTCTGCAGCCTCTCTGTCACTCTGCAGTCACAGTCACCTCTGCGGTCTCCCTGTCACTCTGCAGTCACAGTCACCTCTGCGGTCTCTCTGTCACTCTGCGGTCACACCGTCACCTCTGCAGTCTGTCACCATACTTCCCTCATCTTGTTCCTGCGTGGTGCTCAGCCACGTCCCCTGTACTGGTTTCTTTTGCTTCTGTGTAACTCCTTCCTACAACAGCTCACACACTGTTTTGGGCATTGTCTGAGGGACTTGCTCTATAGACGTGGGTGCCTTTATTTCTGATAAAAGCAACCCAGGGGAGGAAGGATTTATTTTAGCTTACAGTTCCATCATTGCAGGGAAGTCAAGGCAAGCTGAGGTAGATGGTCACATCACACCTATAGTCAAAAGCAGCGAGCTTGTGCACAGGCCCCTTCCTGTACTTACAAAGTACAGGACCCAAACTTAAAGAATGGCGTCACCTACAATGGGTGGACTGACCCTCTGCAATGAATGGAATCAGAACAACCTTCCAGACAGGCCCACCTGGTCCTCCTCTAGACTTCCTTCCTTGGCCCCTCTACATTGTGTCAAACTGGCCATTTAAAGTAGCATCACAGGGACTTAGTCCATTACAGTTGTTCTAACAAGATACATCACACTGGGTCATTCATAAACAGAAATTTATGCCTTGCAGTTCTAGGGGTGGGGAGTCCATGATCCAGGTGCTGGGAGATGGGAGACTGGTGGAGGCCTGTGGTTTGCTTCATAGATGGTTCTTAGATGCTGTGTCCTGTACACAAAAGGCATGGATGCTCTTCTCTGAGGTCTGAACCGTCACAGAGGCTCAGCTCCCCTGACCCTGCTGCCGTCTAAAGCCTCTCCCATTCCAAGGCTGCTTCTTCGGGGTTTAACATGAATTTGGAATTACGGAAACATCTAGAACATTTATTTGCCTTAGAGGGGGAGGCAGTTCAGGCTCAGAACAATTCATTGTTCTGCCAAGGTGAAAGCCCGGCAGCAAAGCCATTTGCCCTGGCTGTGGGGCCCTCTGTCCAGTGGTCCTTCCGTGTGTCCAGTCTCCTCCCCAGGCCTGAGGGGGTGTGGCGGGGCGTGGGACTGCATCCCTACATCCACCATCCATTCCCTACTGCTCTGTCCTCTTCTCCCCAGCACTCTGGGGCCTCCTTAAATTCTTGTCACTCCTTTGCACTGCTGTTTCTTCTGCCTAGGAGCTTTCTTGTTAGTTCACATGACCAGAACCTTGTGTGCTTGTGTGTCATCCTGGGACAGCCTCCAAATCCTCTTGCTCAGGTAGCTGACACCTTCCTGTGAAAGGATCATGCTTTATTTTTGTAGTTCTTTAGTTTGTCAGACACCACCTACTTTGAAAAAAAAAAAAAGATTTATTTTTAATCATGTATGTGGCAGAAAGGGTGTCGAATCCCCTGCAGCTGGAATTACAGTTGTAAAAGCCACCTGGCAGGTACAGGGAACCGAACCCAGGTCCTGTTCAGGAGCAGTGCATAGATACCTAGAACCTTTTCAGTCCCTCACCTTCTGGTGCCCCTCATTGCTTATGATGACATCTCAGTGCTGTGGGAGGGAACTTCCAGAAAGAACTGAAGTGTATTTCCCTGCCATTTCCCAGTTAGTGTAGTGCCAGGACTGGGCAGGTGATTTGCAGAGCAAATGAGTGAACCAAAGAACAAAGTCAAGTCCCTGCGAGTTCGAACACCAGGTGCTGTTGACCCCTCAAGTTCCCTCACCACACTGCAGACCTCAGTCTGCCCACATAGGATTCAGCCTGTCCGTCACCTGGATACCCTGGCCTCTGTGCCCGCTCAGTCTGTGTCTCCCTCCCACAGGTGATCAAGGAGGCCTACAGTGGCAGCAGCGGCCCTGTGGATCCAGAGTGTTCCCCACCACCCAGCGCCAGTGCCCCCATGAACAAGGCAGAACTGGAGAAGGTGAGAGATGGCAGGTCTCATGAAGCATTTCGTTCTGTTAATGGCTTTGATTTTCCGTGCAGATGAGTTGTATTTCTGGGGAATTGGTGAGGCATTTCAATACACATGTGCATTGGTTTGCCAGGTATCTCTCATGTCTGCAGGCCTCCATCCTTTCGTTCCCAATTGCTAGTTTTACTAACATTCTGCAGCACCCCAGTGGGCACATCTACAGTTCTGCCCATGTCCATTTTCTGTGCCTGCTTTGGCCAAGGAGTCCTCTCACAGACTATGTGGGTTGCTTTATGACTAACAAAGGGTAAAGGTGTAGACTTACAGGCGTGAACAACCTGGTTCATTCATAGCTATGAAATGAGGTCTGAATGCAGTGTGCCCATTTGCAGCGCTCAGCAGGTCTATGACGGTGTGGTGTCTGCAAAGTGTTGAGAATTTGGTTCATCTGGCCTTTAACTTTTTTTTCTTTAGTTTTTTTTCTTATTTTACATATCAATTCCAGTTCCCTCTCCCTCCCACCCTCTCATGCTCGCCCCCACCGTCCCATTCCCCACCCACTCCCCAGGGAGGGTGAGGCCTTCCAGGAGGGATCATCAAAATCTGTCAAGTCATCTGGGATAGGGCCTAGGCCCTCTCCTGTCTCTAGGCTAAGGGAGTATCCCTCCATGGGGAATCGGCCCCTGAAGTCCTTTCGTGCACCAGGGCTACATCCTAGTTCCACTGTCAGAGGTCTCTTAGACTGCCCAGGCCTTCTGAGACCCATGTTCAGGGTGTCTGAGTTGGGTCTGAGTTGATCTAATGCTGGTTTTCCAGCTATCAGTCCGGGAGTCCATTAGCTGCCTCTGGGTTTCTGCAGCCTGGTCTTGACCCCTTTGCTCATCACTCCTCCCTCTCCGTAACTGGATTCATGACCTTTAACTTTTGAGATAATATTTTAATTTCCATCATACCTCACCATGTCTGCATGACCATGAGAGAATAATGTGATCCTTGTGTCCTCATAGAAATTGTCTTCAGAGAGGCCCAGCTCTGATGGAGAAGGTGCTGTGGAAAATGGAGTCACATGTAATGGAAAAGAACAAGGTGAGATTCTAACACACATGCCAAGAATATCTGAGCCCAAAAGACCAGTTGCCGTGAGAAGTGTGGCTATGGGGAAGCCTTTGTGCTTCGCCCATGCAGGCATCACACCCTCTGTCCCCCAAGAACACTAGGAAGGCCTCTTGATTTGCAACATCCCAGAACCTTTCTCTCTCGTCCTGCATCTAAATTATTGTCAATCCCATGGGAAAATACATATCCCACAGAATGTATGCTTTCCCACCATTTTAAAGTGTCCTGTGGACATTAAACATACACACAGAGTGCTGTGTGCCCATCACCTGTGTCCATCTCTGGAACTTTCTGTCTTCACAAATCAAAACCTTGTTTCCAGAAACCCAAGTCCCTCACCCCTTCCCAGCCCCAACAATTACCATTCTGTTTTCCATCTCTGCAGTGGAATCCTGTGGTACTTACTCATTTGCAACTGCCTTATTCACCCAGTACAATGTCTTCAAGGTTCGCCCACATTGTAGTATGTGTGAGCCTTTCCTTCCTTTTCTAGGCTGAATAATAAATATTCCATTACATGGCCTGCATCTTGCCGTCCATTTGTCGGCCGGTGGTACTTGTGTTGCTTCTGACCCTTGGCTATTGAGAACAAAACTGCTATGAGCACGAATGTGCAGGGGGTAAAGTGTCTTGTTTCTAAACTTGACTTTATGGATGGCATTCAGTAAAGTGCATCTGCTTTGGCGGGGCCAGTCTGAGGTTTAATATATACCTACAGCAAGTAACCATCTCCACACTCAAGAGAGCGTTTCCGTCACCCCCATGTCCCTTCACACTCCTCTAGTCACCTCTGCCCCCCCCCAGCCCTGCTTGCTGCTGCGGTTTCCTGCCTTCACTTGGGGTCCAGGGTGGACCCAGTGCCCCTCAGTTCAGTGTTAGAGCTGCTGCACAGCACACCCTGTGGAGATGAACTCTGTTTGTCACCCTCGGACCAATTTCAGGACACACGGTGACTCCAGGGACATTCTGACTCCCAAGTGACACACCCTGGAGTGTGGGGACATTCTGACTTTCAGGTAGAACATATGGGATCTGTGGGGGCATTTTGAATCCCAGGCAGGGCATGTAGGGACTGTGGGGACATTCTGGCTCCCAGGTAGGGCTTTGCTTGTACATATGAGTCCATGTTCCACGAGGACCCATCTAGAAGAGGGTTACAAGGCCACATATTCTCGTGGGACCGTGGCCCCTGCCTGGCCTACAGTCTTTACCTGGTACTGCACAGATGTGTGATGGTGTGCAGCTGTGGCCTCCCAGTGGTAAGCAGTTTCTTCTCATTGCCTCTGCATCTCTCTGGTAGGATGTCTCCTCAGATCCTTTGCCAATATTTCTATGGGATTGTTTATTACTGAGCTTTTGGAGGATCTGCACATACTCTTCCTGCAAGTCATTTATGAAATATCTAAAGATTGTCCCCCACATGTATGGCTGGACATTTTATTCCTGAGTATGCACTCAAGGGAGGGGTTTAACTTGAAGGTATGTGGAAAGAGCTAGGCCTCCATGGACCTGAGATCTTGCTCAGGGTGCCCGGGCTCTCATCTGTATGGCTCATATGTGATGAACACTGCTACCTGAGAATGAATCATGCGCTGTGCCCGAAGCCATCCCAGCCGAGAATTCTGGAGCCCAGACAGTGTGACAGTTCACTCCGGAAGGTCACACTGTCTGCTTCTTCATTGTGGTTTTCTAACGCAGTCTGGTCCAAATGTAATGTTAGTCCTGCCCTCTGGAAGTGACTACCAGTCATGTTATATGTAATGAAGACCTCAGCGTGGGAAGCTATCTTTAACTTTTGTTCTGAGGTAGGACACCCTGTGGTCTCCAGGCTCCTGCTTTGCTGTTTGGCTTATTTCTTTCTTTTTGCTCTGAATTTTTTTTTCTTTTTGTTGTGAGATAGTCTCTTTGTCCAGGCCGATTTCAGCCTCATGGACTCAAGCAGTCTCCCAGCCTCAACCTCCCAAGCTGGGACCTCAGAGGAGCCACACCCCAGGTTACTGTTGCTCTGCTGAGATACAGCAGCTCCGTCAACAGCTCAGTTTCCTTGTTTCATGACCCCCAGCCCCCATGAACCTGTGTGACTAGGGTCTATGGAGTAATGTGTCTGTTGGATGTTTGTGTAGGTTTTGCATCTGTCCCTAGGAATCTCCTGTTCACTCTTTAAAAATTATTTATTGTATATGTATGATTGTATGCCGATGTGCAGGTGCCCATGGAGGCCAGAAGATGGCTTTGGGTCTCTGGAGTTAGAGGTGAGACACCTTATGTCAGGGCTAGGATCTGAACTCAGATCCTCTAAGAGAAATACAGGATTTTAATTGCCAAGTGATCTCCCCAGCTGCTCGTTCTATTTTTTTTTTTTTTTTTTAACAAGGACAGTTGTATGTGTCTGGGAATGAGCCGGTGACCTGGCTCACACATTTTCCTTTTGTCCAACACTGGTCTGTCTCTGTGTGTTATGGTTGCTGGTCAAACATCACAAAGGAACCTCATAGTCCAGATGCACCCTAAGTTCTTGATCCTTACCGTTCTCTACTTTCCACTGGAAAAACGTGAGTCAAGCTTCCTTTAGCTTGGCCCTTTCGTGATGGAGTTTGTGGTGGTCACAGAGAGGAAGCCTGAGCTCCTCCACGCTGCCTACTCGTTGGGATCTCACCGGGGAAGGCATCAGTGAAAGCCATAGCTCTGCTCTGAGATGCTGCTTTCTTCTTTCAAGATGAACCCCTGTATAGACAGTAGGGAGTCAGTGACCATCCTAAAGCAGATGTGGAGGAAGATGGCGGAAGACCTAGACTGTAGAAACGGTGCTGCCCACGCCCAGTGTGTGTGCATCTGAGACCTAGTCCTCAATGGGCTGCCTGTGGGTGGACCTGATGAACTAGGGGTCTGATGATGTCACCTCTCCCTCCCCTCCTTCCCATAGACTAGACTGAAAGTCATTTTATTTCCATCTCCAGGAGAAAGTGGGCCTGCCTAGGTTTGTGACATTTGCACACTGAAATATTAATGTTCTCTTTCTGTCTTCGTTGCTGGGGCATTGGTCTTGGTCATCTGTGCTCTTTGGACCCCCTCACTGTTCGCCATATAACCTCACTGAGTGGCGAGTTCTCTATTGACTTTTGAATTTGGGGATGTGCTGACTGCTGCCCCGTCCCCACCGAATAGCCTCAATGTGTCCTTGATGGCTTTTCTGTCATGTCCCTATGTCGGGACCTTTCTTCCAAGGGTGACCTAGGATATGATTATTCTGTGCTTTAGGGTTTGGAGTCTAGGAAGCACTGTGTTGGCAGGAGCTGGTCTCAGTTCTGCTGAGACTCTGAAACCTACTCTCACTGAGTCTGCCTGAGTGGAAGGGTTACCTCAGGGTAGAGTCTTGAGGAGAGTGTCTCCTATCTCCTCACTTTCAGCTCGCCTGGGAGAGACAATGAACTCATCTACAGGTTCCTGCTAAGTCACTAATGGAGCCATATACTGTCAACTTCCACTCACTGTGGCTTGGCTGGGGCTGAAGTAAAGTTACCCAAATCTCTTGCCCTGGGCTTCTGTCTGGTAGAAGGGGAAGCGCCCGTTCTTCCCACCAAGGCTTGGATCGGTTCCCAGGACTCAGTGAGTAAATGTGTGTCTAAGAGCATGGAAAAGGGGGTATATGGACATCCCCCCCTTTCCCTAAGATCTCAGGAGGCCTTAATGTGGGTTATTTAAAATAAGTAAAAAAAAATGTCTGTTTGTAAAAGCACATGCTGCATCCTGGGGTACAAACAACAGACTTAAAGATCAAGTCTACAGGTAGGGTTGGTCCCTGAGGACTTTGCTTCCTGGCTTGTGTCGTCACATGTTCTGTGCACACACAGTCTATAAAAGGGCACTATTTTTTGATCAATCATTCATACCACATAGCCTCATTTATTATCACCAAATACTCTTGGGTCAGAATTGCAGGGCCAAGGCAGGAACATTCAGTATAGAATGTTGTTTGTCCTCAAATTCTTCATGGCTTCATCTTTTAGCTATAGTATGGCAACTCTTCCCTCAGACACTGCTACTTGCTTGTACACCCGAGAGGAAGCAGGGATTTTGCCTATTGATCTTAGGAGTGGATAGGGGCATGTAGAAATAGAAACGAGGACTGTTTTACCTCTTCCCCAGAGAGGAATGGGAGATGCTTGCAGGTGAGCATGCTTGTTTAGAGGAGGGGTTGGGAATTATTCCACAGCGTATCCCATGTCCCTGGATGTTCTGTCTCTAGTAATTCGTGTGATGTGCTGGGGGTCCATTTGTTCCTGAAAAAGGAGAAAGGTACCTGAATACCTACTGCATTCTAAAAGCTTTGTACTGCCTAAAATGTTGCCACAGATGGTTGAAGGTTACTGTGTGAGTGTAGGGAGTGAGGTGATGCTGTATTGGTCATGATGCAGAACGGTACCCCAGTGAGGCCGTGTCCCAGTGGAGGGGACCTCTGGGAAAGGGGCTTGCACCCTGGCTCTAGCACATGGTACCCTTAGGAGACTGAGATGGGCTGACCAGACTTTGTCCAGAGCTGCTCTTGAGTAGAAGGATCATGTCCCTCAGCTCTGAGTGTTCCCTATACATCCATTCTCACTTCTCTGAGCCTGGTCCCTGTGACTCAGGTGGATTCATGGGTGAAGTCTGTGGGGGGAGAGGCGGGTACACAGGGCTAAGTAGCAGCAGATACAGTTGGCAGTCAATCTCCCTCCATGGCATGGTGTGGGCAGATGAGATCTGCCCTGCGTCAGAACTTGGAGCCATTATCACCTGCATGGACTCAGCACCAAGATGATGCATGTGTGAGTCCAGGATTTCCAGATCTTCTGGTTTTGCTGGGAAAAAAAAATCCTTTTTGTACAAAATGTTTCTAGATTTATATATTGAAAGTTAGTTTCTAGCCATCACCGTCCTGGCCAAATGAGAACATGGTCTGAAAGGCAGGCCTCTGGTCTGAGAGCTCTGGACAGGAAGCTCAAAACATTGTCCAAATTGGACAAGAGAGACCAGTAATGAGGACCCACTTCCCCGTCCCCCCTTGCAGACCCAGCCCTTGTCAGCCAGGCTGCTGGTGAATCGGCAGTAGCTTCCCTCGGTATCTTAGGCCTCTCCATCTTCCCCACATTGATGGTGTGTGTCCACCTATCTTCCTGCCTGGGCATTACACCCTCTGGGACAGACAGAACTCATTCCTTATGTCTGAGCAGTCAACCAAAAGTCAGCCCTGGGCAGGCTCTGTCTGACCACCCAGCCATTCCTATCTCCACATGGTTCTTGCCATTATTTGCCATCCTTTGTTGCGTTCAGTCCATCACGTGTGTGTGTGTGTGATAACACAGACATGTCTGTATGCACATGTGTATACTCCTGGTCCTCCTGAGTGCAGCTGTATCCTCCTGTGACCCCAATATGCAGACCCCCAGCTGGCTCATCCCAGATGCCCATGTGCGCGATGAGTAACAGTTTGCAGGGGAAGAAATGCCTGGTGATGAACGCTGTGAGTTTCCCATTTAACATAAATGGTTAAGACACACTTTTGTGTTGACAGTGAAGAGGAAGAAAACCTCCAAATCAGATGCCAAGGGAACCGTGTCCAAGGTCACCGGGAAAAAAATCACCAAGATCATTGGTCTGGGGAAGAAGAAGCCATCCACAGACGAGCAGACGTCATCAGCGGAGGAGGATGTGCCCACCTGTGGTAAGAGCCTGCCATGTGCCAGCAGCAGAGCAGCAGACTGTCCATGGGTGTGCTCTGGGGTTGTCTGAATTGTGGGATTCAGTGTTTAGAAATAGAGGAATCTTTGAGAGTTTGCGACGTTCTCCCTGGTTCTTTCAAGATTAAAAAACTATGTTGTCTGTTGTATGACGGTTTTTTTCCCCGGTCCCAAGCAGCCTTTCCAGACTAGGACCCAGGCACAAGACAGGCCGGACCTCTAGCACTGAGTCCCCTTTGCATCACACCTCAGACTCAGGTTGAGAACCAGATACATCTGTCCATCCCACAGTCTGTCTGTCTTCCACCCTTGTTTGGCTGGGGAGCTGCTTATGATCCACAGCATCAACCAAGCCGGTCCTGCCCACCATGGCCTCTGGGGTAGGGGCTAAAGAAAGGAACCGAACAGGGAAACAAACCAGAGGAATGCATGTGTAACAGCCAGTGGGTGAGCACCATGGGGAAGCAAAGGGGTGGAGAGCTTTATCATAGCACCTAAGTTGGGCTGTGGCCAGGCCAGTGGGTACAGTCTCCATGAGAGCAGAAGCAACATTACCGTAATGGCCCCAGTTACCACACTTAGGAGAACTGTGTCTGTCGTCCTTTCAAAGAGGAAAACTGCATAAGTAGAAAGAGAGGGGCTTGCCTTTTGATTTCGTTTTGTTTTACAGTATACAGATGTTCTGAGCTAGTGTTCTACCACCAGGCTCTTCCTTCCTTCCTTCCTTCCTTCCTTCCTTCCTTCCTTCCTTCCTTCCTTCCTTCCTTTTTTAAATCAAGAATGGAGCCTGGCATGAGGATACATTCCAACAATCCTATTACCAGGGCGCAGGAGCATAGCGGGTTGCCTATAAGGCTAGCCTGGGCTGTGTAGTGAGCACTGACCAGCCACGGCTTATAGCAAGGCCGCGTACGGGGAAACAAGAATGGACTGCAACTGCCCTTGCGTATCACTGTTTCAGACTCTACTTCCCATCTGTGTGAACACGAAACTCCTTCATCCAGAGTCGTTCTGTTTACAGCCCCCTCTGTCCCCATTGAGCTCCCTCCTTAGGGGCCCGAATCAGGAAAGAATCGTAACCTCTTGTAGGTACCAGGAGCCCTGTGCACCCAGTTCCGGGATTGTCTCTCATCAAGTGGCTGCTGGGGACAGGAGGACAGATTCAGGGCAGCTGGTGATGATGGCTTCCATATCACACTCCCTTCCATGAGGAGAGAACTCGGCTGCAGTAAAGCCAATTGGACGGAGCTGTGATAGAGTGGGCAGGGTCTGGGGGCACGGCCACACTGCTCCTGGCCAACCCCCATCTTCCTGGAGCTCTTGGGATGTAGTCTTTCTTCCTGCTTTTGTCAGCGATGAGCAAAGTTGAGAATTAAAGCCAGCTTTACTTCTGTGTTATTTTTTTTTTCCAACTGCTCTAGATCAATGAAGGAAATAGATTTTTTTTTTTTTTTTTTTTTTTGAGACATGGTCTCATCTTGTAAACCAGGATGGCCTTGAAATCACAGACAGCCGCCTGCCGCTGTCTCCTGAGTGCTGGGATTGAAGGCCCGATGAGAGGTAAACATGTCTTTAGGAGGAGGAATGGTTCCGCAGGCAAGTGAGGCTGAAGTCTGGATCCTCCTCTTGCAGAAGAGAACCCTGAAGCTCAGAGATAGGCATGACTTGCTCCAAGTCTCAGGGCTGGTTGAAGGCAGAGTGGGTGACCCCACCCCCTCCAAACCTTTTCTGACTCCCTGTAGCCCATGCCTTGGCCGGTCTCTCCTTGTCACAAGAGCACAACCCTGCAGGCCTCCCCATAAGCTGCTTTTTGGCCCTGTTGCTGTCACACAGTGGCTCATCTCTATGCTGGTCACCTTCTTGAAAGTGTGGGTGATTTTTGAGAGCAGGGGCCTGAGGTATCTGCCACACACAGCTCTGGCTTCTGCAACACAACTCTAAAATCGCCAAGCAGCGTCTCGAGGGGAACAGGGAACAATGGCCATTTTCAGCCCTTCAGTGCAGCTGCAGGACTCTGGGCAGAGGAAAGGGGGGCTGGACTCCCGCCGGGGTGGGGGTGGGGGCTGACCCTGCCAAGCTGAGCCCCTGCAGCTGCTGGGAGACAGCTAAGCTGATGGGCCAGAAGGGCAGAGCAACTGAGCAGGCAGAAAAGACTCCCTGGAGTTACTGAGTCCAGCCTGGTGCTTATCTAGGCACTGCAGTCTGGTTATGGTGGGCGGGATGCTGTGGCTTCCTGGGTGTCCTTACAGGGCTTTCATGGGCTGAGGAGCAGACCTTGCAGATGCAGCTGAACTGCTCCAGGTTCTGTCTCTGTCCTCCTGAGAGGTCTTTGAGGGATGTTAATGTTAGCCTAGGCAACTTCTCCCTTAGCCCTCCAGGTGACGTACCCTAGTGACACAGCAAGACTCCACACCCAAGGTGGTTTTCATCAGGCCTTTCATGGGCTGGTGCAGTCCTGGGGTTCTTGTTGCTTTATAGGCAAAGCTGTGAGACCTGGAAGTGAGCCCTCTTCCAGTGCCCCCCCCCCCCAGCCACTGCTGCTCACCACAGGCACCTTACATTAGTCACACGGTCCTGAGCACAAACAGAGACCTCCTCTTGCTACCCACCTGGGATCTCAGCCTTGGCCAAGCCCCCATTGCATTACTAGATTATGACCCTTCTCAGCTATGAATCATCACCCAGAATGGGACCCAGCACACGGTAGCAAAGCCACTGCTTTGGAGATTCAGGCTGCTTGTCTGGGACCGGGGCTCCAGTGAGAGTGGGGTAAGCTGCTCAGTGCTGAATGCCTGTTACGTCACTGTCCATTCTTCACCTGTCATGCCTTAAAGTCAACAAAGCACGTCTGCACACCAGCCCTGCCCAGGGTCAGGTGCAAAGAAATGTAGAACCTCAGGCCTGTAAAGTTAGCTTTATAATTCTAATGAAACCTTGTTTATTCTTGCCTTTCTTCCTATAGAATTTGGAGTGGAAAGAATAGCAAAATATTAAACTGAAATTACCCAGTTTTTAACTGCTATAGTATGAGTGGGATTAAAAAACAAAAACAAAAAACAAAACAAACAAAAACAGTCAAGCCAGGTAATGGTGGCATGTGCACACCTTTTAATCCCAGCACCCAGATGGCAGAGATAAGTGGATCTCCTTGAGTTAGAGACCAGCCTGGTCTTCAGAGTGAGTTCAGGACAGCCAGGACTTCAAAGAGAAACCCTGCCTCCCAAAACAAAAACAAAACAAACAAAACCAACCTCCCCAAAACACAGAAACAAAAACCAGTCAAATCAAACAACAAAACCCTCCTGTGTAATTGTTAACAGTTCCCTGCAGCCTCCAGCCTCATGGCCCGGCTGGAGTCCAGGCCTTCAGGTCCTGGCTGCACTCTGGCACCCTCTGGTGGCAGATGTCTGCTTCAGCTCGAAGATCTGGCCTATCCCTTCAGCAAGGCAGGGGGTCTTGGTACCAAGAGTGAGACCCACCCTTTGCCTCCAGATCCCTGCCTGAGGAGCTCTGCCATGCTCTGCCTGGTCTCAATCCTGTCTGTGTTCCCTCCCCAAGAAAGCAAAAACTTGGGGACCCCCTTTTTGAGAAAGTAGGGTACCACAGAGGTCAGCTGACAAACAGAACTATGGACGCATCTGAGAGCTTCCTGTTTATGTGAGCCAGGCCTGTCACCCAGGGAAACTTTCTTCCTGTCTTTGAAACTTAAATCCTAAGCATGTATTAAAATATGGTAATGTCCCATGAAGTCATGCTCTAAATTAAGGGAGGACCTGTCTCATGCAATCATTCCTCTGTGGCTGAAATGCTGGGAAAGCTACAGCATCTGGTGACTGTGGCCAGATTCTGTCTGGAGGCAGAGCAAGGCAGAGCCAGTGTTGCTGTCCTGATGGTGGGCGTGTCCAGCAACGGCTGTGTGCACGTGGGGAGGCAGCTCCCAGCTGTGAGCCCTAAATCAGAGTCATGGGCAATTTAGCAGTGTTGTTGCTAAGTTACCCAGGTGCACATTAGTCTCACTATTCTTCCTGCTGACACAATGCCCCAGTACCTTCTGCACAGTCTGCTGCTTGCTTTAGTGTCCGAGGCTATGTGCCTGGCCTGGTGTCTGAAGCTATCTGCCCAGGCTGGTGTCTGCTATTTTCCTGGCCTGGTGTCTGAGGCTATCATCTGCCCAGGCTGGTGTCTGAGGCTCTCTACAATGTGGTCACTGGAGGTCCCATGCCTTTGTATCTTCTACCCCTTCAGCTGCTGGCTCTGTAGACTTTCACAGGACATTTCCTTTCCCTGTCTGGTAGCTCCATGACACCCACGATGCCCTAGAGTTCAGTGCTTGTTGTTTGTTTGTTTGTTTGAAGGTAGCGTCTCCTTGTCATCCAGGCTGATCTTGAACTCAAGTCCTCCTGCATCTACTTCCTGAGGGCTGAAAATACAGTCTGGTACTCCCACACCTGCTTGTTTTTGTTGTCGTTGAGATAGGGTCTTGCTATATAGCCCAGGATGGCCTTGAACTCATGATCCTCCATGCCCCTGCCTTCTGCGTGGTGGGGTCACAAGTGGGTGCTGTCACTCCCAGGGAGGCTGGCTCTTTAACAGTGGTTAAACAGTCCAGGCGTGTGTGAGCCTTGCCTACAGAGTATATCAAGTTACTCCAGGACTTCCCGCCATCCTGTTTGTGGACTTGTGCTCAGAAAACACTTAGGCTCTATTGACACAGGTGACATCTACTCAGAAGTCCAGCATGTGGCTTTCAGCATGGTTGATTGTTTTAGGTGGCGGTCAGAATACCGAGAGCAACTGAGATGTTCATCTGACTGCATTTTAAAGCTGGGCTTTCCCTTTAAAATAATAACAAACCAGAACGGTTCCATCTACACAGTAAAAGCCTTTTACAAAGAGCAGTATCATTTAACTGCGGTGTTGTCCAGGGCGAAGATGCAGTGGGGCCTGCAGCCGTACTGGAAATCACCTTCCTTATTCGTCCCCTCTGCTCTCATGGAGGTATCAGGTCTGAGTGTGGCCTCTGGTGGGGCACTCTCCACCTGAGGGTGCCTCCTCCTTCTCAGATGTTTAAAAGTTGCCTGAACGCAAGAGAGCAGCAAGTCCCTGCTCTAGAATCTACAGGCTTCTGTCCCTGTGCCTGTGACCGTACAGATCCCTTGCCTGGCATGGCTAGTGGCAACGTTTGTTCATCAAGAGGTATACTTTAAGGGGAGTGGGTGCAGTGAGCTCACACTTTCCAGATGTGTGTAGTCGTTGAGCAATACCTTGAAAATATTCATCAGAAATGTACGGAGCTTCCCCTGGGCACTGTGAGCATACATGTGCAAGGGTTCAAAGGTGCGGAGTGGCACCCAGCGCTCATCTTCCTTTTCACCTGCTGCCTACCCCTTTCCACTGTCTAATTAATCCCTTTCTAATCTCTGCAGTCTAGAACAGTGGAGGCCACATCGCTGCCACAGTCACCATGGGACCTCCAACTCATGCCTCAGTATTTCTAGAAAGATGTGCTTTGTGTCATTTTTCCTGTGCCTGAGGGTTTTTCTCTTTCAGGGGATGACTCTCCATGTAATTCTGTCACGTGTGACATCACACCTCTGTGTGATACGCTGAAGATACAGTAGCATGCCAGATACACCATCACACAGACCCAGACGCAGGCGGTCAGGTTTCATCTGCCTTAGTCTCCCCATGAGGGGAAGCCCTCACTTCCACATGTGGGGATGGAACACAGAGACCAGGAGGGGACCTCCGGTCTGTGGGTGGGGAGCTCATACCAGCCACGTTCCGTCACTTGCTGGAACACATCCAGCACTGGGGAGCTCACCACTCCCCAGGCCTCCCATTTCCTGGGGAATTTTCATCTTCAGATACTTCTGTTTCTCTGCCTTCCATGTCCTGCTTTCAGGGTTTGCAGTTCGAGCTTTCTGCATTCCATTTCTCTTCCCGTTATTTGCAGGCAGCTGACAGTTCCCCTTGCCTTCTAGCCACCCCACATCCACTGTCACTGTTTCAAGGTGGCCTCCGGGTTTCCATGTCAATACCAAGCAGCTGAAACTGGTTCTTATACCATGAAATGTCTTCTGCCCCCATGAAAAGCTTCCAGGTGGAGAGTGAGCTGTGTAATAACGGCTTTCCTCTCTTTATGAACACTTAAAACCTGGGGTGTAAGCGTGTGCTTTATGCATTGCCCTGGTCTGTAGGAGACTACAAAGGACCTGGGTAGCTCTCCCTAAGTACCTTGGCTTGCTCAGGAGCCTGAGCTGTGGCATCCTCTCCTTGCAGGGTACCTAAATGTGCTCTCCAACAGCCGCTGGCGGGAGCGCTGGTGCAGAGTGAAGGACGGCAAGCTCATTTTCCACAAGGACAGGTCTGACCTGAAGACCCACATTGTCTCCATCCCTCTCCGTGGCTGCGAGGTGATTCCTGGCTTGGATTCCAAGCATCCGCTGACTTTCCGGCTGCTTCGCAATGGACAGGAGGTGGCTGTGCTAGAGGTATGGGATTCCCTGGGGCTGCTGTACAGAGAGATGTACACGGGTTCTGTCAACAACACTATGATTAGGTCCTTTGCAACATCCTAACTCCCTGCAAGGGTCTGATTTTGATCCAGCCCCTTCCCACCTTTAGCCCATTCTGATTTGTGCTTTCTTCTGGCTTTCTCTTTTGGAGAGTCAGAGATTGCACAGGCTGCCTAGGGCACTGTGTATGACAACTTTGCTTGCCAGAATTAAATGCCCAGCTCCAAATAATGGGACACTTTTTCAAAGTGCCCAGGTCAATAACTTGTTGAAAATATCCATTAAAATACTTCTACTAAGCATAGGCTACTGGGGCACATGGGGACTGTTTTCCTTCACTCATCCTTTGGAAAGATCTCTACCTGTTTTCTAATTGAGAAGGCATTTTAGGGCCCTTGGCGCCTGTGGCAGGGTGTGAGTTGCACTACACAGGAGCAGGAGTACATTCAGCTTCGGAAACCATGTCTTCTTCTTCTTCTTCTCCTTCTTCTTCTTCTTCTTCTTCTTCTTCTTCTTCTCCTTCTCCTTCTCCTTCTCCTTCTCCTTTTTTTTTTTTTTTTTTTTTTTTTTTTTTTTTTTTGAGACAGGATTTCTCAGTGTGGTCCTGACTGTCCTGGAACTCCAAGATCTGCCTGCCTCTGCCTCCGAGTGCTATTATTTAAAGGTATGCACTGAACTACCTAGCTGCTTGGCTGCTTTTGCAGGACTAATTCACTGTAAATGGAAGTTTCTGTCCTGCATGGTCCCACAGCCATTTAGTCCCAAATAAACACACAGAGGCTTGTAATAATTAAAAAATATTTGGTCAATGGCTCAGGCTTCTTATTGGCTAGCTCTCTCTCTCAATTATTAACCCATTTCTATTAATCTATGTATCTCTGCTTGGTCTTGGCTTACCGGTGATGCCTGGGCCCCTTCCTCAGCAGCTACATGGTGTCTCTCTGGAGACTCTGCCCAGAATTCTTCTAGTCTGGATGCCCTGCCTATACTTCAATGCCTGTCCATTGGATAAAGCAGCTTTATTCATCAACCAATAGCAGAAGGACATCCCCTGTCAATTCACCCATCTTCCATCTTGTTATTTTTCTACCAGGCATTAATGCAGACTTACTTTCCCAATCCCTCCCATCCTTATTATGATTAAGACACACACACACACACACACACACACACACACACACACACACACACACATTATACACTCACTTGTCAAGATTGTTTGTTTTCCAGGGTACATGTCAGTGTGTTCATGCTGTGAGGTCAGCAGAAGTGAGGCTATGTTAAATATGGAACAGGGGGCTGACATGCAGGCTGTCTGCCAGATGGAGCACCAAATCTTAAATGGCTGTGGTGTGGGTGTGGGGCTCTGACCAGGGTCAGGGTGTTCAATCAACAAGATCTTGAATTTCAAAATATGGGTGCTTATTTCCAGAATTGCTTTCATAGTAGGTTTTTGCCTTAGTTTTGGGACCTGCATTCCTTTGGAACCAGGAGGATGCCAGCGCCTCCTGGTGGTTTCTGTGGGACAACCCATATCCCAGAAGGCCTGCTTTAGTTCAGGACTGGGATGCCTACGCCTAGCCCTCAGGGGATCTGACAGCAGTCACATCTGTTTTTCCTCTTGGCCTTTTACCTGCCTGTAAAAAACAGCAATGGGCTAGAGTCAGTGTCCTTTGCAAACCTCCATGTGGGCTGAGATCTTTGGGTGATGGCTGCTGAAACCTTGAAGGGAGCTGTCCTCAGAGCAGATGCAGGTCTCAAGGCAAGCTTCAACCCCGGAGGCCAGAGGCCACAGGGAAGAGAAGGCAGGGGCTGGTACAGGAGGATGAGAACTGGACTGTGTGTCAGGACGAGGAGAGGAGCCCAGGGGGATGGGGGGATGGGAGCTACCTCTGTGGGAGTGCTTAGTGCTGAGTCCATGAAGAGCAGAGAGTTCCATAGCTTCCAGAGTGCCTGCAGCTCTATTAGGTGCTGGAGAGTGGACTCAGTCTCCTGAAGGATGACAAGAGCTTGTTGAACTGGCATCTTCCCAACTCATTGACTGTTTCTTCAGGGCTGAGGTGACTTAGTGCTCACACAGGGCTGTGGGGCTGAGGTGACTTAGCGCTCACACACAGGGCTGTGGGGCTGAGGTGACTTAGCGCTCACACACAGGGCTGTGGGGCTGAGGTGACTTAGTGCTCACACACAGGGCTGTGGGGCTCAGGTGACTTAGTGCTCACACAGGGCTGTGGGGCTGAGGTGACTTAGCGCTCACACACAGGGCTGTGGGGCTGAGGTGACTTAGCGCTCACACACAGGGCTGTGGGGCTGAGGTGACTTAGCGCTCACACACAGGGCTGTGGGGCTGAGGTGACTTAGCGCTCACACACAGGGCTGTGTGGCTGAGGTGACTTAGCGCTCACACACAGGGCTGTGGGGCTGAGGTGACTTAGCGCTCACACACAGGGCTGTGGGGCTGAGGTGACTTAGCGCTCACACACAGGGCTGTGGGGCTGAGGTGACTTAGCGCTCACACACAGGGCTGTGGGGCTCAGGTGACTTAGCGCTCACACAGGGCTGTGGGGCTGAGGTGACTTAGCGCTCACACACAGGGCTGTGGGGCTGAGGTGACTTAGCGCTCACACACAGGGCTGTGGGGCTGAGGTGACTTAGCGCTCACACACAGGGCTGTGGGGCTGAGGTGACTTAGCGCTCACACACAGGGCTGTGTGGCTGAGGTGACTTAGCGCTCACACACAGGGCTGTGGGGCTGAGGTGACTTAGCGCTCACACACAGGACTGTGGGGCTGAGGTGACTTAGTGCTCACACACAGGGCTGTGGGGCTGAGGTGACTTAGTGCTCACACACAGGGCTGTGGGGCTGAGGTGACTTAGCACTCACACACAGGGCTGTGGGGCTGAGGTGACTTAGCGCTCACACACAGGGTTAGGGATATATCACATTGGCCTAGCACGTACAAGGCCCTGGATTCCATCCCCAATACTACACACAAAAAAGTGATTACACACACACACACACACACACACATACACACACACACACACACACTGCACTTTCCTATAGTGGTGTTCCCTGATGTCCCAACACACAGATTTCCACACACTTTTGTGCATTTCCCCCCTCTACTCTTAAATAATTCAATGTGTGTTTGTAAAAAAGAAAAAAAATAAATAAAAACAAAAGCAAGGGACAGCACTTTGCTAGAACCACAGTGATGGCAAGAATGGAAGTTAATACTGATGCCGTGCTCTGCCACGATGCCTAGGTCTTAACCTCAATTTTCCAGTTATGCTAGCTTGGCCCCTAGTTCCTGATGAATATCTGAAAACCCTGTGGCTATTTATTCCCCAAGTCTCTTTATCCAGTTCACGATGCTGATACCCCTCAGGGCATAGACCTGATATATTATAGAAGATCCTTTCTTTGGGGTGTGCCTTCTCCTGCTGCTGCCGGGCTATCCTGGCACCCTCAGCAGGAGCCAGACGGAAGTGGTATGGTGTGTCCTGTAGCGAGGTGCTCCCTGTCATTGTCTCACTTGTGATAGGATTCGTCTCGACACTGTATTAGTTACTTTCCTATTGCTGTGATAAAACACCATGACCAAGGCACCTTATAGAAGCAAGGTTTGGTTAAGGGATCCAGAGCAACAAGAGCCCATCGTGCCAGAGAGGGATGGCAGCAAGCAGCGGACATCACAACTGGAGTAGAAACTATGAACTCACATCCTTTACCATAAGCATGAAGCAGAGAGAGCAAACTAGGAGTTTATGGGGCTTTCTTCTTTCAAAGCCTGTCCCCAGTAACAAATTTCCTCCGTCCTCCATCCAGGCTGCACAAGCTCCCCAAAATGTACCCCCAGCTGGGGATGGAGCGCTCACATGCCTGAGACTGTGGGGGATATTTCTCATTTAAGCCACCAGAGATACCTTGGGCCAGCTGAAAGTCACTACATGCCCTCTGTCATGTGGGCAGGGCCCGCATGTTTTGAGTGCTGCTGCTGCTGCTGGTGGTGGCTGAGTGATGGCATTCATTCCTCGGTTCCTTCTACCTGAAGTAGTGAGCCTCTACTGAGGGGCAAGATTTCTTCCCACACGTTTCGGTGATTACCCATTACCCATGTGTGTAGGATTCAGGGGCTGTGACCCTGTACCTGCTATGCATCAGTGAGATTTGACCTCAGGTTTGATTCCCAGCACCCACATTTCAGCTTGCTACCGTCTGGAACTCCATTTCCAGGGGATTCAGTGCCCTCTTCTGGTCTTCTTGGGCACCACACATTCACACGGTTCACATGCATACATGTGGGCAAAACATTCATACCCATGACATACACAAATCTTAAAAAAAAAAATACTAAACACTTCCATGAAGTCTCTATAGACACCCAGATGAGAGTTAGTCACAAAGCTGATGATTTCCTATGTGTGTCTGTGTCACTGGGCTAGGGATTATTCTACAACATACTGTAGACTAGGCCTGCACGCTGAGCCATGCCCCCAGCTCGTATTAGGGTGACAGACCTGGAAGATGGTTTCTATTTTAATGTAAATGTTCACAGCAGTTTGTGTTGCCTGGACATACCTTGATTGTTCCTGCAGTGAGGCATGCATGGGTACCTGTGCTGTGCTGTGTGAGCATCCATGGAGAGCCGGCAGCCATGCAGCTTCCTGACAAGGGCTCTTTCTCTGCTCGGACTTATGCATGTGTCCTGGAGGAAACTATAAAGCCAGACCTTCTTTAAGCTTAACCTAGAGCTCATTCTTTATTTATAGAAATAATACTTTCCAAAACAAAAATTCTCTCCACTGTCTTTAAATAAAATTTAATTAAATTTTTCAAGTGCCATCTTAAAAGGTGATGGAGTTTCTAAAGATGGCTTAAAATTTTAATAAGGATAATTTTAAAGGTAGTCTGAGAGGTATGTTAAAGAGGCTACAAGGTCTGGCACCTTCAGTGTCTTAAAAACAGTTAAGTACAGAGCTGGTGAGGACCACAGAACAGTGCCACTCCTGCAGGGATGCAGTGACGTGAAGAAAGTTACCTTCTTGTTTTATTTCCAAGTAGTATCTTGATAGGAGAAACATGCTCACCGTCTCAGACCACACCGGCTACAGTCCAGGACATCTGGGAGCCGTGGGGTGGAGCTCCCTCGTGATTTCGAGGCCAAACCCTGAGTAGAGTTTGTGAACAACTTGCTATGACTCAAATGTTTGTGAATCTCTGTGCCCTCTCCTGGGCAATGGGGGCAGGGTTGGTGCACCTTGGTGGCTCAGACTTCTAGTTTCTTTATATAATTATCCTTTATCCTCCAGCTCCCTGGCCTAGTGTGGACAGAAGGCCAATCCTCTAACTCAGGCCATGGATGTGGCTCTTTTCTCGGCCATACTCAGTGATGCATGTTTTCTTTCTCTTCCTGTCGCACATCTTTATCTTTGGTTAAATGAATCCCGCTTTCTTCCCCATGGCAGGCATCGTCCTCTGAAGACATGGGCAGATGGATTGGTATCTTACTGGCTGAGACAGGGTCATCAACAGACCCAGGAGCCCTGCACTATGACTACATAGACGTGGAGATGTCAGCAAATGTCATACAGACAGCCAAACAGACCTTCTGGTAAGACTCATGCATACCCTGGAGAAGGGCTGACAACATCCTCTACTGATAACAGGTGCTGGGTGAGCGTGCAGATCAGAAGCACATCTGAGGACTTTTCCTTGGTGGGGTGCGGACCCCGATGGTCCTGATGTTGGTCATGTCAGCCCTCCAGGATTTCTGCTAGAACAGGCTTGTCAAACTTGTCTGAGGATGGTAGTACTGGTAGCCAGATGGTCCCTGTTACAGCTGCTGAGCTCTGCCTTTGCAGCCAGAGACAATAAGGGCTTGTGGCTGTTTTAATTTGCACCAACAGGTGGTAGTCCTGGTTTTGTCCTGTGAGCAGCTGGGAAGCTGTTACCAGCTCCTGCATGACAGGGGCCTTCTAGAAAGGAAAGCACAAAGGAGTCTGTGTGATTGTGATGCTGAGATGCTGAAATAAGGCCGACTTTTTTTTTTTTTTTTTTTTTTTTTTTTTTGTGGCAGGGCTTCTCTGTATAGCCCTGGCCATGCTGGAACTTTCCCTAGAGACAAGGCTGGCCTCAGACTCAGAGATTCACCTGTCTCTGCTTCCCAAGTGCTGGGATTAAAGGCGTGTACCACCACTGATGAGCAAAGCCTAAGATCTTAAGGTTATCAGTGCAGCGGTTTCTAAATGTAAGTTGTGGCAATTAATGCTACTTTGTGCAAAAGCATACTTTTGAGCCAGAATGCTTCCTGGGCACAGCAGTAGTGAGGGGTTTGTAGCAGCAGGCCTGTGGGGCCCTCAGCCTGTGCTCACATCCAGCATCATCAGCTGTTCCACAAGGCCCAAGTTCTTTTCATACTACCCGAGACGCCTTCTCCTTTCCCAGCATTTTGACACGTGACAGTTGCCAGGCTACTGCGGCAAACAGGCTCCTTCACAGCGCTGTGTCCCTGACATGCGTCCCCTTCATACACAGGGACAGTAGGGAATGCTGAATGCATTTGGGGTGGCCTTGGGCTGGGAAGACTCCAGTTGCTCTGGTGTTCTGAGTGCCACAGTGAGCCCCAGGGGTGCAAAACCGCACAGACACAGGGGGGGCTTCCAGGCAGTGGGTTGCCCATGGGTTGCCTGGCTGCCATTCCTCAACCCCTTGTTTTTACTTTGAAAGACAACCAATGGGCTAGGGATGTAGCTTGGTTGGTATAGTACTTGCCTAAGCATCTCCAAGGCCCTGAGGTCAATCCCAGGCATCACACAAATTGATGCACATCTCTAATGTGGGAGGTGGAGGTAGGAGAATCTGAAGCTAAGATCGTCCTTGTTTGCACAATTAAGTTCAAGACTGTTCTGGAATACATGAAACTACGTCTCAAAAAATAGGACAACTGATAGACTTTGCCCCTCTCAGACATACATTACCTTAGAATGGACCCATTGCCCCTGCCACTGTAGGAAAGCAGTTAGCAGTCTGGTGCTAGTAAAGGGTGGCTCACTCAGAAGGTGGGTTCTAAATTTGTACCAGCACTGTGAGCGCAACAGCTCCTCAGCTCACAGGGTCCCTTTGATGATAAAGTAGCAGGATCACAGAGTGGGACCACTCTGATGTACTTGATGCTGGTGTGACAGGGTGAGGCCCATTCCTTAGGGCAGTGTCAGCCTGTGATCTCCAGGTCAGGGTACAGAGTGTCTAATAGCCAGTCACCAAGAGACTGCCATTCTTTACATTTTGGGATAGCGCGGAAGACTGTCAACAGCTACCTGAGAAGCTGTGGGTGTGTGTCCCTAACTCCCAGCATCACATCCCTGTGAGGCTGCATTTTCTCACATGTCACCCAAATAGCAGAGTGGTGGTGTCCAGGGTTGCATAAACAGGAGTGGAACCCAGTTACCAACCTCAGAGAGACATATACAGACCTGAAAACTGGTGTCCCCTTCTTTAATAGTTTATGTTGGAAAAGCTTCACAAACAAAGAGATATACACACACACGTGTGTAAATGTATATATACATACACACAAATACATATATGCACAAATATGTATTTGCTGATTAAAACATGATAGAGTCGTGATTATTGTTTTTAAATGAGTACATTTCTCACATTTTCTTTGAAGTTCAGTAGGTAATGGACAGGAACTCGTAACAGAAGAGTTGGAACCATTCACTAGGAATTCTGAACAAAGTATTCCGGGCTAGATATGACTTGCCCAAATGTACCCAGACACATAGATCTGTCTCTGCATCTGACCTTTTTTTTTTTTTTCATTTTAAAAGTATTTAAAAAATATTTTTCATTATATATCTAGTTTTTTGAGACAGGGTTTCTCTGTGGTTTTGGAGGTTGTCCTGGAACTAGCTCTTGTAGACCAGGCTGGTCGCAAACTCACAGAGATCTGCCTGCTGAGTGCTGGGATTAAAGGTGTGAACCACCACCGCCGCCAGGCTGTATGCAATATATTTTGATTGTATTCTTTTTTCTTCCACAACTCCTCCAAGATCTTCCCACCCACTTCTCTCTCTCTTTCCCAAAACAAAAAAAAAAAAAAAAAAAAAACTAAGAAAACGAAACAAAGCCCAAAGCCCAAAAGACAAAAACTACCAAACCATAACCAAAAAAAAAAAAAAAAAAAGCACACAACACACAAAAACACCTGGTGCCCTTTCTGTGTTGCAACTATTCCTGGGCATTGGGCCAGGCGTAGAATGTGGTTGACATGCCTGGTGACTCTCCATTGGAGAAAAATGGATTTTCCCTCTCCTAGAATCTATAAACTGCAAATAGCTTCTTTTTGGGGGTGGGGTGTTGAGACAAGGTCTTTGTACTTACCTCTGGCTGCCCTAAAACTCACTATATAGACCAGTCTGTTCCCAAACTCACAGAGACCCACATGCCTCCTGAGTGTTGAAATTAAAAGCATGAGCCACCATACCTGGTACAAATAGCCTCTTGGTTCATGGTGGAACCCTGTGTCTCCTTCCCCCCGTGATGCGGTTTTGTCTGGTTTAGACGTGTGCAGTGTGCTGCCACAGTCTCTGTGAGTCCATACACATATCAGTTCTGTTGCCTCTGGCAGACACCATTTCCTTGGAGTCCACCAACTCTGGCTCCCACAGTCTTCCGTCTCTTCCTCATAGATCCTGAACCTTGAGGGAGTGTGGCGAAAACTTTCCGCCTGGAACTGAGTGCTCCAAAGCCTCTCACTCTCAGCACCCTGTCCAATTGCACATCCCTGTGTTGATTACCATCTACTGTAAGAAGCAGCCTCTCTGATAAGGGTGGAGCAATGCTCTGATCTTTGGGTATAGCGGTATTTCATTAGGAGTCATTTGATTGCTGTATCCCTTTAACAGAATAATTGTAGGTTTCCCCCTAGTACCCGTTTACTCTCAGGTTCTACCACTTTAGCAGTGGTAGGCATGAGTCCCACCTCATAGATTGGGCCTTGGTGCCAGTTTTTTAAAAAAAAAAAAACGGTTGGTTACTACCATAACACTTGTGCCACTACTGCGCCGGGACACCGACAGATGACTGTTGTGGGTGATTGGGGTTTGTTGTTGGGTATATTCATGATTATTTTTCTCCTCCTGTGGCGTGTACAGTACCTTCCAGCACTATGAACACTACTCAGTGGTGAAACTTCTCTTTGGGCACCAGCTTTATTTTTCCGGGTTTGAGGGAATAAGTGAGTGCTGTCTTCAGCAATAGGATCTTACCATCATCAAGCTGTGGAAGTAGCCAACAGCACTGGCAATATTTGGGGGATCTTTAGCTTGATGTATTAACAGTTATCTGTCCTTGGGTGGAAGTTACTAAAATCCTTGTAATGAAACTCACTTCATGTTGACTCCAACCAGCAAACAGATCATCACATTCAGGAGAAACCCTGAATTTCCTGCACACCGCTCAGCTTTTCCTTTATAACTGAGCAGAATTTTAATATAAAACAAATGTTTTTATATTCTCCACAGCCTGGAGAAAGGAATGCAGGTTTCTGTATCAAACTCTCTTCATTAAAAAGGCTCATGCCATAAACTTAACCTAGGAATCTTTTTTTTTTTTTTAACCTCATTAAAATCTTTTTAGGGATGTTAGTTAGCAATAAAGTTAATTTTCATGTTTTAGTTTTCTAGCCAAACATTCCCATAAAACTTAACAGAGAGGAGACTGAACAAGGAAACAGCCTTCAAAATGTGGTAGCTTGCCAAGGCGATAGATAGTCTGGGATTAAGTTAATTTTTCGCTTCTTGCAACTTGGCGGGCGTGTGGTGATTCTTTGCCAAACAATTATGAGAATTATCAGCAATTGTGTCTGACTGAAGGAAAGAAGGTAATAAATGTTCTGAAAAGGAACAGGAAACGGAGGGAAAACCCTGCAGGGCTCTCCCAGGAGATTGGCAAGTAGGAGTGTGGGTGGTGCTGGACACTGGGACGCGTCCTGAGGCTGACCAGGTCGGGTGCCAGAAGGACAGTGCCCCGCCACTAACCCTGTACCTCTCACAAGCATTGCCCATTGCAGGTCTAGCAGAATGGGGTGGGGGCAGTGTTGCTTCTGCCTGACTAAAGGGCAACAGTGTGGGGAAAGCCACCTTCCAGCCACCGTCTTCAGGTCCTGCAAGTCTCTGCTTTTACATAGAGCAGTCCCTGGAAGCCTTTAAGGTTTCCATTCAGCGCTTTTCCACTTAGACCCTTGGCTGAAAGTCACTGTGGAGTGAGCACTAGGGGGCAGCGTGAGGCCCCTGCCTACTCTGGGCACTGCATGAGTTCTCTTTACTGGCCTGTGCCCCTCCGTAAACTTTAGAATATTCTAGTCAGTGGAGAAGGCCTCTGCCAATCAGGATGTGTGTGTATATGCTTCTTGAATGTTTTGGGCATCCCTGTTGAGGGAAGCAGAAGTGTACCCAGCTAGGGTACACGTTCTCTGTTGACTGTCCTTGATCCTCTCTGATAACTGTGCATAAGTGTGAGTACTGGGCATGGTGCCAGAACCTGATGGCCCAGAGCAAATATGAGCTCCCTGCTGCGTGGAGGGGAGAGGGCTATGTGAGCACACATGCCCACTGTGGCCATGTTCAGCACCAGTAGGTGCAGGCACCCTTGGTGTCTGTGCTGCCATTCTTCGGTTTGTCTCACTTGCCCTCAACTGAGTCTTTTAGTCGACGCCTTAAACATGTATGTGAGGCATGCAGGAACTCCTAAGTGACTAGTAAATCCTTACGTCTCGCATTTTCTCCTTCCCGTGACTTGATTTGATGTAGAGTAAGTGTAGAATAATTATATCATTGTCCACAAGCTAAGAAGTCACTGCATTAACCAGAGGAGCTGTGCTTGCTACCTTCTTCCAGCAGGGGGCAGCAGTGCACTAGGAGAGACTGGCCATTAGGGTGTGCAGAGCCACATGGGTGACTGGCTGTCTACTATCCTCAGAGATACAAAGTTTGGGTGTCAACTTTGCTTGAATTTAGCTTCCCCAGTTAGGAGCAAATGCTACCTAGGCTTTCGTAGTTCTCCTGAAACAAGCCCAGCTTCCCGAGAGGCCGGCCCATGTCTCATTGTGCTCTGGAGACTGGAGTGGCAGCACACTTGGCTTGTGTTCTGGAGGGGAGAGGCAGATGAGGAGCAGGTACAGAATGGGCCAGGTTCCCCTCTGGCACAGGCAGGGTGTGAGAGCAGCATCCTGGGTGGGAAGAGGGACAGCAAAGAGTCGGAAGATGCTGAAGAGCCCCCAGTGTGCAGGCTGGGAAGGAGGAAGCTGGAGGAGCCAGGGTGGAGCTGGAGTTGGTGAACGCAGCCTGCCCTGGACAGTGCTTCTCTTGCTTTTTCTCTCTGGCTTTGGAAGCCTGTGGGTGGAGGTAGGCAGAGGGCCATTGTGCTCTGGCTCTGTGGGGAACATGGGTGGAGAAGAGAGACAAACAGCCCTTTCTCTATACGTGCATTTGTTCTCCTAGTCTGGCCGGCAGGTATGGGCTCCTCACACCAGGTGACACCCCAGTTCTCTGTGAACTCCAGCAGGGGGCCGCTGTAGGACAATTCTGACACTGTCCATCAGGACACAGTGTCAGGTCCCGAAGATCAAAAGCTCTGTCCCCAGGACTCTGTCCATTTCAGACGTCATTCACAAATCCAGTTCATCACCCATGCTCATTAAAGAACAGATGTTAACACGAGACTCTCACAAACCCGCAGACACTTCTTAGACCCCAGGAAGATGTTTGTTTGCTAGGTCACTGGTGTGTTAGGAATACCCCAGCGTGGACCTCTTGGGTAGGGGGAGCAGAGGGTCAGCTATAGGGTATAGGAGCTGCCACCTCTTCCTTGGGTACAGTGCTCTGCCTGGATCTGGCACCTTTCTTGGGTGCATGCCTTCTCTGAGCATGGTGACTTTCCTGGGTACAGCACTTTCCCTGGATTCAGTGCCCTTCCAGAGTGAGCATCTTCCCTGGCCACAGCGTCTTCCTGGTTCACTCCTCTGGGTGCAGTGCCTTCCTGGTGCATCCCATCCAGGAGCTCTTCCACCCTGTCCTCTCAGAGCCGAAAGCCCCCGACTCTGATCATATAGTTGTTTCCTTAGCCACTAGCAGCCCCAACCTCAAATCCTTCAGGCTTTCCAGGTAGTGAGCAGTTCATTGTGGTGGGCAAAGGCAGCCTATTTCCTATTTCATTAGGAGATTCCAAGGTTGTACGGGCTCTGGCCAAGGATAGGAACCAAGACCTGAGCATGTATGCCATATGTATCACAGCAGCACAGGCTTCTGAAGCCTTAGCATGGCTACTTTAAGGGCCTTCAGAAGATCAGGGACAGCTGAAGGTATGCTTTGTGGCTGTCAGAGCTCAGTGAGTGCTTGTTGAAAAGCCACAAACATCCCACAGAAGGCCAGGGAATGCTGTAGTCATGCTGTCCCTTGCCTTTGGGAGTGGCCAGACTGAGCAGACAGGTTGAAACTGGCTCATAGTGTGAGAGGACCAGCCCTTCAGAAAGAGCTGCTGTGCCTTCTCTGAACATGGTGAAAATAGGTGGCACCTGACTGGGTCCCTCCCCTTGTAGTGTATCCCCATACATGCTGTCCATAGTCTGTGCTGCAGTCTGTCTTTGCTCTGGGTGAGGATTGGCCTCAGCCTCTTGGAGATGACATTTGCTCCTGCCTAAGGGTCCTAAGGGTTCTGCTGCTGAGCCTGACGTAGCCTTTGGTTGCATCAAGGTTCACAGAGTCCCTGCTGATTAACTGACATGTCCACGCTTTCTCTTTCTCAGCTTTATGAACAGGCGGGCAGTGTCCACGAGCCCATACCTGGGGAGCATCTCCAATGGCTACGCCCACCCCAGTGGGACAGCGCTACACTATGATGATGTCCCCTGTGTCAACGGCTCGGTGAGTGTCCTTCAAGAGTCATGGTCAGTTTTGTTAGAAGACAAATTGCTAGTTGGTTCTGTCCTGGATTGCCTAGTTTTCTGGAAATCTGAATGAATTGAGATTCTCCTCCAAACCCTGGTCTCTGACATGAACAGCAGATCGTGTGATCCCTAGTAGACAGCTCATCTACTCGTGTTACCACCACATCGCCCAAGACAGATGACAGTGGATTAAGTTAAAATAAATAGATGGAGCAGAAAGAATATTCAATTTTAATAGATGGAGCAGAAAGAATATTCAATTTTACAACTTACATCAGTCAGACACAACACTGTAATTTACCCTGACTAGTTACGCCCAACACAGCTGCAGCTGCCATCCGGCCATTCGGCAGAAATGGTGCCATGGAGTGACTGTCCGTTGCACACCTGGGTGTCTCCTGGCATGGCTGGTGTGGAGCACTAGCATGTCAATGTGGGGATGCTCCACAGCCGCACCATTGCCAAGACAGCCTCTAGGTGTGTCTGTCTACCCTTAGTTTTTATTTTTTCTGTTTTGTCCAGTGTTCCCAGGTCATTAGCAGAGCCCTGCTGGGTCTCTATTGTTTGGCTGATGGCTGTGTACTGTGTACCTCTGGTGGCCAGGCCTGTGCCCTGTCTGTGCCGTGAGCAGGTGTGGAGAGCATGTGCAGGAAGCCTTGTGCTGACAGGAGCCAGTGTTTCTTTAGAGTTTCTCAACCTCGTTTTAGACTTGCAACCTTATTGTTCCCGACTCCATTCTTTCCCCAATATTCTGATGGCAGGGAGACCTCCTGGTGCCCTCTGTCCTTTGCTCTGTAGCCCTGTGGACAGATCTGTGCTTACCCTAGGGACTACGTCTGGTGAGTGCTGTGTGCAGGGCTCTCAGCCCAGCCTGTGTGTCATCATGGTTCCCAGCCCCCTCCTCCCCATCCTCGCTGTGGCATCATTTTCGAGGGGGCACCTGGCTTCTGTATCCATGTAGCCTCCCTGTATCCATGCAGCCTCAGCACCACTGCATGGCTTGCTTCTGTACTCCCGCTGCCCCTCCTAGCCTGTGGCCTTAGCAGCCTCCCACAGGCCTTCCACACAAGGCCTCCACATACCCACACACCACACACACAAGTAGCTGGTGAGCAAGGTGCTGCAGGGCTTGATGAGCCATGCCATGCTCATATGTCACCTGGGCAGTGCAGACACCATGCTGGCCAGGCTCCCTCAGTACTCCTCCCCAGGTTCACCCGTGGTTTTATGTGTATTTGGAAATAAATTGCTCTGTGCTAAGGAATCCTCCATACGCATGTGCAGCGCTTTAGGAGCTGCAACATAATGCCCTGTGAATGTGCCCTGCCCTTTTGTTTCCTCTCGGCTTCCCTGCTCAGGCTTCCTCAGCCTCTTTTTCTGTGTGCAGACCTCTGTTACTACATGACTGCATTTGGGGGGCTTTGTTTCTGGGTTCCATAAAGTCTACACTTTATGACCAACGGCTCAGAGTGTCAGTACTGTTTCCCCTATAAAAATTCAGTTCATTCTGTACTCCCTTTGATTCTTTGAGAAGGAAGGGCTCTGCACACACTCATTTTTATTCAAGAAACTTCTGTGAGATTTCGTCACTGTTTACTAAGTATTCTGCATGACTCGATCCTTGCTATTTTGGGAAAATGAGAGTCAAGTGTAGAGCATTGTACATCTGTGTGGCTGTCACTGAAATGCTCCATCCTGGCTTTTCTACATTGTTTTAGGTTGTTCACTCGTCCCCAGCATCGCAAAAATAGACACTGATGTGGCTGCAGAAGAAGACACCCCCCCACCCTGAGATTTTAGGCCTTTCCTATTTTTATAACAAAAGCCTGTAATTATAGTCTGGCAGGAAGGAACACTGCATGGAGAATATAAAAACAGGCTGAAATGGGCAGAATATATGAATTAATATTTCCTTTTATAACACAGGGCAATTTACAAAGACCTTTAAACCCCGAAGGGACCTGGCAGTAGTTAAGAGTTTGGGGTTTCTTTATACTTCCCTGTGTCCGGAGAAGTGGCTTTGAACTGTTAACTCTTTGCTCAGGCCCTCTGCTGGCATAATGCCATTGTCCCACCAACCTCTGAAGCACCCTGCGTTCTGCGACAACGTGACTTCTGCCTTTAGCAGACTTTTTTTTTGGCCCTGGCAATTTTTTTTTCCGGGTGCTCAAGTGTAGAACTTAGATTATTGACCTTGGTAGTGAATTTGTTGGCCACAAGGCAATGTAGGTGAACTCAGGGTGTTCTTGGTATCAGTCATGTTCCTCCCATCAGAGCCTGAAGCTCTGTGGCAGCACAGTGTGTGGCCATGAGCTCTACTCTGCCCAGCTCTGCCTTTCCTCAGTTTCCCCTGCTTGCTAAGCAGACTCTGTGATACGTAAGCAGGTGTGTGCCGAGCACAGCAAGTGCCATGGGCCTTGACGATGATCTCACACATGCCTTCCTGTACAGCAGAGAGCTCCAGGCCCTGCCCAACTCTCCTGATCTCACTTTCTGTGCATCAGCGAACTTCCAAACTCTGGTTCTCTAGAGCTAGCAATGCGAGCTCAGCACTCTTCATTTTGAACAACAGGACAAAGCCCTCACAATCCAGTGATTCCTGGAACAATTTAAAGACAGAGAAACCTTTCTTATGACTCCAAAGGCAAAGGGGCCCTTAGGAAGCTGCCCACAGCTGTGAGAGTGGTTCTGCCCTACATGTGTATGAGTGACGTGCAGAGCATTGGCTGCTAACATCTCGCTATGCTGATCTTCTCTGTCCTCGTCTGGCCACTAACGAACAAGCTGTGTGTGTTGCAGTGGGACATGGATGGCGGCTTTCCTGGCTGTGGGAGCAGAGGCCTGGCGGAAGAGGTGCTTTATGATAACGCGGGCCTCTACGATAACTTGCCATCACCGACAATCTTTGCTCGATCCTCTCCTGCTGACCGGAGGGCATCTCGGCCACCCGCTGACAGGCTGTCCTCTAACCACTACAAATCCCCCACCTCCTGCAGCCCACCCTGCTCCCCACCTGTCACTAACACCTCTTCTGTGGGGAGGGCATCTCTCGGGCCGCACTCCCAGGTACAGATTGAGTTCCCAAACTCCCTGACATCCACCAGTGGACCTGCCGTGACCCCTCAAACATCGGAGTTTCACAGTCTTCAGCCATAGCCTAATTCACAGTTAGCCACTAAGGGGCTAGAGAGCCATTTGTGACCAGCTCCCAGCTTGTCTGGCTCCTGTCTGGATCCTTCCACCTCCACTCCTGGAGAATTCCCTAGTGCACTTTGAAAATTATGTCAAAGATTATGAAAAGAGGCCATGCAACTTTCCACAGGATGCTGGAATAGTCTATCTTGTGTATAAATGATCAAGGGTTGCCCCCGGGGAGTGGTTATTTCCTGTCTGTAAACGTGGCCAGCACCATTCCAAGAGCCAGTGTGTTGTCTGAGAGAGTGTAACATGTGTCCTGCACCTGTGTGGCAGGAGGGCTCTGATTCTGGGTGGCAGATAAGCTTGCTGAACTCCTGTTTGCCCACCCTCTGTGACAGCCATCCACATCTCAGAGCAGACACTAACTGCTTTCATAAATTTTAACCTAAGCATTTTCAATGTTCTGCCTGGAGTCCTAGGCACCTCATTTAAGAACACTCTGAGAACATAAGCAAGAGGCCAGGCTTTCCACATTCCAGTCCATTCTTTGGGTAGTTTTGAGAAAATAACAGACTAAGCAGGATCTAGGCTTCCAGATAGCGGTGACTCACCGTTGCTTTGCCAGACTGACTCCAGGTGTCTGAGGGGTGTGGACTGCTGAGTGACCAGTGTGAGCACCATTGGCCGCTACCAGTATCATGATGATCCCTGCCCAGATCTGGCCACTGTGTCCACCTATGCATCTATCTGTTGGTCTTTGGTTAGCTTAGTAAATCTGCCATTTGTGCAATTTGGATTGTCCCCACACTAGTCAGGGATCACAGGAGGCATGGCTTGGTGGTACCACTGTTACTCAGCCTAGTTTCTGTTTCAAACAGGGAACAGTCCCAGGCTGTATTCTGGTGCCTTTGCTTGTCATGTCCTTGTGTGGCCATTCTTTTGGAAACCTGTTCATGGCGAGACCGTACATTCAGAGAATTCCCGGATGCCATCTTGTGCATGGCTGTGCACCTCCTGTGGGAGGTGTCAGTGTCTACATTTTTTTAAGTGAGCAAACAGAGGTTCAGGAAGCCTTGAAGGATTGGCTCAGAGTCCCCTAAATGACAAACCAGAATTGCAGCTAGATCGGTGTGCAGGCTCACACTGTGCCTCCAACAGAAGAGGCAGATAGTGGGGGTTGCGGGGGAGCAACAGGGCCTGAGTGTCAAGTCCGCTTTATATCGAGCTCACTGCCTGGCATGCAGTGTCACCTGCCAGATATGAAGCTGTGGCTTGCAGGGTAAGCAGGGGACTGTTGAATTTTTTCAAGCCTGTAGCTGGTCAAGGCTTACTTTGTATATGATTCTGCTACTTCTATTTATGTGTCTCTTGCATCCTTCCTCAGACCCATCAGTGATCTGAAAAGAGGCTATGCATCCCATTATTGTATCATTACTCAGTTATGAGTAAGAACCTCCCTGTGGAGCCAGGCTCTTCCCTCAGAAGAAGCCCAGTAACGGAAAATTGATTTAGCTCTAGAAACACAGGCTCTCAGAGGTTGTTGCTGCATAACTGTGCATGGATACTCAGCTGCTTTCTTATCAGCACCCGAGCCCCAGCAGAAACATAGCATCCTTCCCATGGCAGGCTTCCTGGTAGTCCTGGGTGTCCAGCCTTCAGTGCTGGAAGCTTCCCAGCTGACATAGGGACATCGCAGAAGACTAGTAGCTGGAAATTGAGCTGGTTTCCTTTGCCCTCTGACCATGCTAGTAGGTTATACTTAGAGTCAAAGACTAAAAGAATTAACTTTAGGCAAAAGGGTGTTGCTTTTGTTTGAGTATTTTTAACTTTCTCTGTGTGTTTCAATAGTTGAAGAGCAAAAAACCTCCAGTGGCATCTAATGGGGTTCCTGGAAAAGGGAAGGCTCCGAGCAGCCAGCAAAAAAAGATGGATTCAGCAGGTGGTGTGAAACGGACAGCATCCAGTGAGTTCCCCTCTGGCTCCCTGCTTTCTGCTTTGGTATAGTTTGCCAGCTTAGACTGGCTGAGTCACTCCTACCCCAGAGGCCGGGCTGGGATGAGTGTTGGGGTGGTGGGTGCAACATGCGTCCATCCCTACTGGCCAAGATCTTTAACCCAGACTCTGTGACTGTTGCTTGGCTTTTCGATGTAGCATTCAACCACTGAGACACTGAGGCTTTGGTCCAGGAGATTCCAGTTTGTGTCCCTAACACACCATTAACAAGTCACATAGACTGAAGGCAGCCTCTTCCTCTGTCAGACGTGCAGATGGCTGACCACTGTGGTGGATGCAGTGGAAAGGGTGATGTTGGGTAGTGAGAGCAAAGCCCCTGAATGCTCAAGAGCACAGGAGGGAGGCCTCACTGCCTGCCTCCTCACAGACTCCTGTCACAGCCTGCAGCCAGCACCTTCCACCCCGGCTGGCATTCGATAGATATCTGTGCTCTCAGGGTAGGTGCTGTGCACCCCACCCCATCATGCAAGTGAGGGAGGCACCCCAGGTAGAACAGGACAGCCATTGGTCTCACAGCAGGCCAGCCACTGTGCTGGAACATGGACTAGGCCCTCAGACTTCAGAGCCAACTGTACAGACCAAACAGCCTGCCTGGGCGTTCAGCAGCTCTCCCTCACGTGCAGCTAAATTTGGCTGTGCTGGCTTCTTGAGTTTGTTTGTCCTGCCCTCATTGCATTGGGTGGTCAGCCATTCAGCCAGCCAGCCAGCCTGCAGGACGTATTCACTCAGGACTTGTTGCTGGGGGTGTAGTAAGAAGACCATGCTAGCTTTGAAAAGCAGGCCTAGGGACTGAGAGGGGCTCCGCTGGTCCCGGGGCTCCTCCATCAGTCTGAGCCAAGCAGCGAAGTGTCCGTGTCAAATCATGACAAGCCACTGTCACTTGGGATTCCTACCTGACCATTGCAGTCTGCGGTCATGCAGTTGGTAGACCTCCACAGCCACCTGGTACAGGAGAGAACAGGCCTCAGACCTGCACATGCTGGCATCTTCTTTAGAGTCAGAGTGCCCAAGGGCACAGCAAAGCTATCTTTTTCCATAGTCAAAGCATTGATGAGCCTTGGAACTTCAGCAACACTTGGCTGCTTCAGCCCCAGGGAACCTTTGGATTCTTGACAGGAGCTTGCCTATGCCTCTGCCTTCAAACCTGCTTTTCAAATAGGCAGGTCAGGAGCCTGCCAGGCTGCCTCCTCTTTGTCACTGACTTCCTTTGGCTCCCTCTCTGTAATTTCGTTCCCCGATGCCTTGGGTGTGTTCACACTCTTGTTCTTCATGTTGTTCATTCAGGGAGGTGTGGGAGCCAGAGGGATGAGTCGGCCTAAAATGCCTTGTTAAGCAAGCTCTGAATCCCATGCGGGCTCCTTCAGCCAGGCGTTTCTTACAGCCCTCTGCTTGATTTTATTTTATGGATGATTTATCTCAATATCTGGTGGGACCTTCTGTAGGGAATGTTTTATTAACTTTGGTGACATCTAATGGAAACAAAAGAGAAAAATAATTGCATCTTGTGCTTTTTCGGAGTTCAGCCAATTGCATTACAGTTGTATAGAGTTTATTGCATGGGGACCAAATGGTGGGGAAATTTATAAGCTGTCATCTGTAGGTTTGTCAGGGGACATATTGGTGTAGACAGTGGAGTTTGTGCAGTTTGTCATGGAATTTTCTAGAAGTACCTTGGTTTCATGAGACAGGGTGGTTATCCTTAGGTTGTGGATCTGGGGTCTTTTGGGTGAGGGAGGGAATGCTGACTGGATATAGGAAATCCATAAATCCCCATGAATGTGGCATATTATGGAAGAAGTGATGGCAGACCTAGCTCAGGGCATGTACTGCATGAACAAGTCTCTGACAAGCCAGCCATCTCTGGTGGTCACGGGGGCTGCCCGTGAGTATCTACTCCATCCCAGGAGTCTTAGCACGCAGTTATCTGTTTCAGAGATATGCGTCTACGTTTACAGACTCACACATCCCTTGTCCCTCCATGTCTTCTACCCTGAAACAGACTGACATGTAGACAGGCCGTGACAGAGGGGCAGGTGGGGTGCAGCCACCCTTAGAGCTGGCAGGTGATGCTCTAAGATGCTCTAGCCCCTCAGCATCTTTTCCAGAGATGCTTTGCCTAAATTCCTATCTGGCTGCTCTGAGTTCCCCACAATAACACACTGGAGCCCGAAACTGTGGACCATACTGAAGAGACTGTGGGGTCTGGGTTCAACAGTGTGGACTGCTGCTACGTGCTGGTGGCCAGCGTGCTGGGTTTCCCCGGAAGCTTTTACTTATTCGCTCGCTCACTCACTCACTCACTCACTCACTCACTCACTCACTCACTCATTCATTCATTCAATGTAACAGCTATCTGTAGAGGACCCATTTGGGGAGTCACTTTAAGCGCTTTGTAAATATTAAATTCTTCCAGCTGCCTATGAATGACCTGCTCTTATCCCCATTTCACAGGAGAAACTGGGGCACAGATTTGTTCTAGATCCCAGGGCTCCAAGGTTGTCCTCTGAATAGTAGGTTTCCAAGCACCATGTACTGCCTTTCTGTCTTTGCATTCAGTGGAGAAGCCCTTCCTATCTGCTTCTTCCAGGGCAGAATCTCAGGCCAAGGAGACATCTTCCCTCCAGCCAGAGCAAGGCGTTCTTGTAATTACAGAACTGGGAGTGAGGAGAGGCTATGCACATAGAGAAACTGCATAAACTTTAAAAGGCTTTTTACAATTGATTTATTTTACTTTGTGTATTTTGCCTACATGTATGTCCATGCACCCTGTGTATGCCTGACAATCAAGGAGGGCAGAAAGGGGTCTTGGACCCCCTGGGACTGGAGTTACAGATGACTGTGAGCTGCCATATGGTTGCTGAGACTCAAACTCCAGTTTCTAGAAGAGTAGTCAGTGTTCTTAAAGGTTGAGCCATCCATCCCTCCAGCCCCGAGAGAGGCTGTTATTGTCAGTAACAAACCTTTACTAGTTTTCATTCCTTTTGCTGCAACAAATAACAGTTTAGGGAAGACAGAGTTTACTTGGCTTACAGTTACAGGTTATATATAGGGTGTTGTTGTAGAAAAGTTAAGGCAGGAACACTCCAGCACAGAGAGAATAAACACATGGCTACCTGCTTGATGTCTAGCACGCAGCCAGCTCTCGCCACTTTTACACATTCTGGGCCCCAGTTCATGACAGGTGCCACCCACATCGAGGGGTGTGTCTTCCCAACTCAACTAATAATCAAGACACTCCCTCACAGACATGGCCATAGGCCAAGCTGACCCGATAATACCTCATTAAGGTGCTGTTCCCAGACCACTCCAGATTGACTTGGGTTGACAGCTAAAACTGCCCGGGTCACTGCCTGCCAAGCTTCCCGCATCTTCACTCTGAGCCTTGTTGACAATTACTTGAAAGCTGAGGGGAGGGGCACAGAAGGGAGGGGCCCTGAAGGGGTTCTCCAGTCTTTGTCTCTGTTTGTGAAGGTGCAGATCAAAGTATTGGAGGATTCGAGGCAAGTCTCTGGGGTCCCTGCTCCAAGCCCCCCTTTCCCCTCAGAGCCAGCCAGGAGCAGCTCTGCGGTACTCTGAAGAGCTCTGACCCCTCTGGTTGCACTAACTCTGGGTGTTCCTTACTTAGATGCTGATCAGTACAAATATGGTAAGAACCGGGTGGAGGCGGACGCCAAGCTGTTACAGTCCAAAGAGGAGGAGCTGCTGAAGAGGAAAGAGGCCCTGCGGAACAGGCTGGCACAGCTCCGAAAGGAGAGGAAGGATCTGAGGGCCGCCATCGAAGTGAATGCAGGTGGGAGGGGTGGGCTCTGGTCGCCCATGCACCTGTGCCCCTGGAGTGGTAGAGTCCATTCGGCTCACCCTCAGACCCGTGAGCCACAAGGCAGCATTGCCTCCCGGGGTGCTGGCCTTGTGGGGAGCCCAGGGCAGCACAGGGCTGGTTGAGCAGTGCCACCATAGGCAGGGGCTGACCCCAGCTGCACAGTGCGACACCGGCAGTTTCAACCTCAGCTGCTAAGAGCCAAGAAGGCCGGCAGGTTTTGTTCCTTGTCTGAGATGATGACTCAGTGGGGCTTCTGTGGAGCAAGGCACAGGGCTGAGGAGTTCTCACAGGGCTCTGCCTAGGAAGGAGTAACTCTCTATTCTTAGAAAAGCCTGGGGGGAGGGAAGCAAGGCTGTACCTGGATTTGGGGATCAGGAGAAAAGACTATGTCCATGATCTGAACAAGGGACAGTGAGTAAGAAACAGCTGTCAGGGTAGTGGTGTCTGGAGATGAGTAGTATCCAGGCCCATGCTGCGCCTTCTTCTGGCCAGACCTTCCGATCTGGGATGAAAACTAACATCTCCCTCTGATCCTCGCTAGCACCCCCACAGGGGCATGGCTGGCTTTTTAGATTTAACTTCTGCCATTTGAAGAGGGGAGATGTGCAGCAGATGAAGAGCCCCAGAGGGGACACTGGTTTCCAGAAGGTTTCACTGCAGGCTGAGGCTGGTGCATATGCCCATCATAGTTAACCAGAACTGAACTCTGTGCAGATTATGGCTGTTCAGGGAAGTAACTTTAGGAGCAGGAAGGGATGTGCAGGTGGGTCCATTAGGGTAGTCTGTGGGACCGGGATGGGCAAGGTGTTGATATCAGGCTGCCTGGGAGAGATGTAAAGCTTGGTACATGTCAGCTTCTCTCTCCTGCCTGTGTCAGGGCACAGGACGGAGAGGCAGAGAGGCCCCAGCTCTGTCCCTCAGAGGCCAGGCTCCCTGTGTCCTATGGCTTGCCCACCTCACTGACTTGGTTTACTTCTCTGTCCATTTCTGTGCATTTGCTGCCCATGTCGGTCACCAAACCAAATTTCAAACAATTAAGTTAACCGGCAAGCCCTGGAGAAATATATGCCGAGTCCTACAAAGACGTGTGGGCCATGCTTTTTGACCACCGCTGCTGCATATACAGTAGCTCGTACATAACTGGTAGAATTTGAGACCTCCTTGTTCAGCGTCCCTGCCAGGGGTCCTTTTGGGCCACTGTGCCCTTAAGCGAGTGTCGTTAGGCCCCTCGGGCTTGTGAGTGTGATCAGGCTCATGGGAGAGACCTGGCAGAACTCAGCTATGTCAGCCCCTCTGTGAGGTGACCATGTGTCCCTGGGATTCTAGGCAGGAAGACCCAGGTGGCCCTGGAGGAGAAGCTGAAGAGGCTGGAAGAAGAGTGTAAGCAGAGGGAGGCGGAGCGGGTCAGCCTGGAGCTGGAGCTGACCGAGGTCAAGGAGAGCCTGAAGAAGGCCTTGGCAGGTGGCGTCACCCTGGGCCTGGCCATCGAGCCCAAGTCAGGGACCTCAAGCCCACAGGTAAGTGTCCTGGGGACACAGCACAGGGAAGGGCCCCCTGGTCCCTCGGGGCCACCATGGGTGGTGTCAGGCTAATGTGTGGAGACATTAACCTCTCTTATGTTCACCAGAGTATTTAAAGGCCCGTGCTGAGTCCATGTGTCTCCTCTATGTGATTCCAGCTTGCTAGGCAGGCACTCACTCCCATGAGCCACTTAGGTCACCCAAGCTGCGGTGACCTAAGCACCTGGCTGTCACGGGGGTGTCACCTGTCAAGTCTGAAGCCTTCCCTTTAGTCGTGGCTCCTCATCCTCACCCGATTCAGCCACTGAACATTGCCATTGTCCCCAACTGTCCCCTGACCAACAGTAAGCATGGCCTTCAGAGGCTTGGAAATGGGTGTTCGTGCTGTACCGCTTCCTGTGTCTCCCGAGGGTCCTTTCTACGCACTTGGTTGTCATCACCTTCTGGCATTGGTGGCAGCATCCTGTATAATTGTAACCAGACCACTTCTGCAGTAGAGTAGCTTGTTAGGCAGGCGCTTCTGCTGAAGCCAGCTTATTGCCTGACCACCCCCATACAGAACCCCTTTGCACCAGCGACCGCACCCACCCAGAGTCAAGGCTGCCTCTCTAGATGTCCAAGGAAAGATCTATGTTACCAAAATATTGAGCTGGGAGGAGCCCTCACAGGGGTTCTGAGCCGACACCCTGTGCATCCCAAGTGTTTTCAGTGTTCAGTGCTGACGATAACCTGGTCTCCACAGCGCCATGCTTTCCCAAAGGCACTTTGCGACCCTATGTAGAAGCGCCAGCAGGCCCAAGTCAGGCCCAAAGGCAGCTGAAGAGATAAGCTGTTTCTTAATTTTGCAGAAATTTCTCTCTAGCATGTGCAAAGTGAGAGTGGTCATAGACCTTCAGGCCACTTGGGAGCCACTCACCATCCCTGACCCCCAAGCTGATTCTGCCTGGTGCTGGAGCTTCTGTTACAGGCCTGACCCTTTCAGTAGCAGGCAGCTCCAGGAAACATTTGCAAACTTAGGAAGCACCTTGTGGATGGACTGGCGAGAGATAGTGAGGGTAGGAGTGTGGGCCCCGAGTCCCAGCTCTTAGTCTTCTATCCCTCGGTCTCAGCTTTTCTTTCTTCTCTTAAACGAATTGTCTAAAAGCACTCAGACACAATTTCTTCTTTACCAAACCGTTTCTCTCTGAGAAATGCCAGTGGCTGAGAGCCACCCCTCACACAGGGCTCTCTCTCGTTAATAGTCTCCTGTGTTTCGGCATCGGACTCTGGAAAATTCCCCCATCTCCAGCTGTGACACAAGTGATGCCGAGGGTCCCCTGCCTGTGAACAGTGCGGCCGTCCTGAAGAAGACTCAGTCATCCTCAGGCAGCTCCCCTTGCCGTGGGCACGTGCTGCAGAAGGCCAAGGTGAGTCCCTGCAGAGTGGGTACCGGAGCTCAAAGTGAGCCCTGCTGCACTCGGCACTCGGCCTCTTCCAGCTCCCACGCATACCCTTAGGGATTGGGTTCAAAGACAACCATCAGACCGGAACCCCCAGAGCATCATGATGGTCACCTCACAAGTGGATAGACTCATCCCTTGGGCTTGTCCTCCTTTGGGCAGCAGATTGGGCAGAGTGACCACAATGTCCTCTCTAGTGCTTACATGCTGTGATTCTCCAAAGAAGTAAAAGCCAGAAAGGCATTTTTCTTTCCAGGCTGTCCCCAGCACCCTGGCCATAAGCCCAGGGTTCCTCCTCCCCTGCAGTTGAGGAGAGGAGCCATTAACAGTCTTTGCCATGATTAAATACTAGGGATTCCCAGAACATAGTTTCCAGATGAACAGAGCTAGCATTTCTCACCCATGGTGATGGAAACAACTGTAGGTTGACCTGAGCTGGCCTGGGGACGGGATGTGAATCCAGATGGTGTCCCTCTGTTCTGAAGGTGGAGGGGGCTGATCATGTACCCTGCACTGTCTCGAGGCCTCATAGTGCTGGCACTGATGTGTCATTCTGCAGCCCAAGCCCGTTTCTTAGGAACTGGAAGCATATTGCTTTCAGCAGGACAGAGTGCATGCAGAACAAGGACTCTGCTATGTTCTTAGGGTGTCCTGGGATAGTGGTAGCAATTGTGCTTGCCCAGCCTCTCAGTGTGTGTGCTTCCCCAACAAGCATGCTTTCTAGAAGGCTCCACGGGCTAGTTGGGGAAGAAGGTTATTGAGTTGGGATTCCGGTGGCTTCCCTGAGCATCCCTCTGGCCTTAGTGTATAGTCAGTTTCTCCCTTGCAGAGGATCACTTTGACTGAGCCACATTAGAATGGAGCTGTGCGATTCCCCTCCCCGTTCCTTTACCATCAGGGAAGAGGGGAAGAAGCCAAGCCATGCTGTGAAAAAAAGGCTCCCTTGTCTCAGGCTTGTCAGCCTTGTCTCCTTCTGATGATGAACACGAAGCCTGTGACCACCCGAGTAAGATACAGACACTGCCCGACAGTTCCCATGCAGCACAGGAGGCGGTCACTGCTTGTGGTCCCAGTTGCAGCCAGTACACAGCAGAGTCACTGTAACTGGTCTCTCTGAAACAGCCTTGAGTGGACTTGAGCAGGATGGCCTTGGTGTTGGAGGGGCCCCACTGGACATGAGGTTGCATTGGGGACATACTGACTAGATTGGAAAGTCTCTTGATTTTTTTTTTTTAGAATCAAAAGTTCAAGTGTAATTAACGTCTGATGCACAGCACTGGCAGAAATAAGAGCACTAATGGATCTGTTGGCAGGAACAAAACGCACTGTGGGTGGAGGGTGAGGGTGGGGGGGGCCGCAGACTTGGCTCACCAGTGGTTTGGTTCTGCAAAGGACATGCCTGGCCAGATTCCTTGTCTCAACCTCCCCAGATACCTCCATGGTGGCTGAGAATAGGTGCTGAGAGGACCATGTCTGAGGGCAATATTCAGAACCTGCTGCTGCTGCTCCACCTATCCACCCATCCACCCACCTATCCACCCATCCACCCACCTATCCATCTATCCATCCACCCACCTACTCACCCACCCACCCACCCACTCACCTATCCACCCACCCACTCACCTATCCACCCACCCACCCACCTATCCACCCATCCACCCACCTATCCACCCACCTATCCATCTATCCATCCACCCACCTACTCACCCACCCACCCACCCACCTATCCACCCACCCACCTATCCACCCATCTACCCACCCATCCACCCACCCATCCATCCATCCACCCATCTATCCACCCACCCACCTATCCACCCATCCACCCACCTATCCACCCATCCACCCACCTATCCACCCTCCCATCCATCCATCCATCCACCCATCCATCCACACTTTCCAACATTCACTTTCTTTTTGTAAAATAAGCAAAGCCAACCTGACCTGTTGGCTATTTCCAAGTGTGCCTCTTGGGGGGCATCCACCTCCAGAATTTCATCTTCTCTGACTCTGTCCCTAAAACACCAACACCACCTTCTTCCCTTGCCCCTGGTACCCACCATGATACTGTTTGTCCCTATGAACTTGGACTTCCACATAAATAGATCGTTTATAAGTGGTCCTTACTTACTTGATATCCTGGAGATCCATAATGGCCTAGGGGTCAGGACTCCCTTGTTCAGCGCTATGAGTGTCCCATGTCTGGAGGCCACGTTTACCCATTTGCCCCTGTTGGTACTTGGATTGTGTTTATCTCTGACTGGCTTCAGACAGAGCTTGCACTCTGTTGTCTGTGGCTGAGCCCCCACACTGTGTAGGACCATGTGGCTTGTGGCAGCCAGGATTAAACCCCTGCATTTACACACCTCTCTTCTCCAGGAGTGGGAGCTGAAGAATGGGACATAGAGGAAGGCCAGCCGCACCCAAACAGAGACTGCATACTACCACCAGCCTCAAGTGTGACACGTGTGCCTCCCAAAGTGGCCTGAGCTTGACTTCAAAAGTCTGGACTGAGTCTGACGCTGACCCCTGGCCAGCCTGTGTGCACGCTCTCTACTGTATGATGGTGCCCTTTAGGAAAGTTTACTTTAAGACTTTGGTGTCTAAATTTACTTGTTAAAAAAGCAGAAACAAAAGGGGTTGACAAGCAGTTTTGAAGCACCCTCTGGCAGACGGGGCAGTAAGGCTCTGGGACCTCAGCTCAACCCTAGCTTGGACCATGCGCCCCTGTGAGATGGAGTGGCCCGAGCCTTCCCCGGGCGCAGCCAGAGCCCCATGCATCGCCCTGTTTGCCAGAGGGCCCTGCTCTGCAGCAGCAGGAACTCCCTGTGTCCCTGCAGCCCCACACCCTGCCCCTGCCTGCCCCTTGTCACTGGAGGTGAAGCCATGAGGGACAGTGCTGTGAAGCCATTTTTGAGGTTTGGTTTTGGATACGTACTTTTGTCACCAGGTTGGAAAAGTTGTCATTCTTTTCACTAGTGTTTTTGTTTGTTCTCTTTTAAAGAAAATGCCCCTTCTTATGGTGGCTATTGCTGGGATTTGGGGGACTTTTCAGAGACCCCGTTTCCCATTTTGTGATTTTTTTTTGAGAGGCAGCAGCCTTCAGTCCTTGGCTAGCAGTTCTCCCTTCCCACTGACCTGAGACCCCAGCCTCCCCTACTGCTGGGCAGGGGCTCCTTCCTCAGCCCAGGAGGCACACTGGTCACCCTCTGCCTGTGGATGCAACAACCCAGGCCAGAGCTTCCTTTGGAAAACAGAGCAGGTTTGAGAACGTATAGTCAAGCCTGGACCATCTTTGAATGGAAATGAATCCTTCCAGAGCACGTCCCTCTCTTTTATAGCTGAAGCCTTGGATCACAGGTGCACTCCCATGCGAGCCAAGGTTCTGGCTGTGTGGGCCTTCCTCACTGGCATGCCTGCCTCTGTGCACTGTTTCTTGGATAGTTCGAATGTTCATGGGTGGAGCTAGCCTCTATCCTAGGGGTCTCAGAGTCAAACTGACTTTTTGGGCTTCCAGGGTACTGTCTAGACCTTTCCATCATGGAGAACTGCAGGCAGTGAGGGTGAGTTAGCCAACTCTGCAGACTAGTTCAGAGCCAGTTATACACAGTTCTACGCAAGCAATAGGCTCCTTCACTAGACCAGGGACCTGGTGATGCTACGCGGGAGGCAGCCTTCCCGCCACAGCCCAGAACATCCTTTGCACACACACAAGCAAGTTTTCTGGGCTGTCTGTAGAGGTACCTTTTGGACCTGCTCTTTGAGCAGCCTTCATGCTTAGGGTCTGTGCTCTGTGCTTCAGCCCTGAGGTAGCTGTCTTAGAGTCCTCAAAGAGCAGCAAGGTGGTCACCGGCATGCAGGGACATCACACCAGCCATCTGAAGCTGCTCCGCTGGAGGTCCTCGTCAAACTGGTCCAGTGTGGGGCTGCTTGCCATGCCAGCTGTTCGATGGTGCTTCACTCTCGTGCCTTCCTCCACAGGGCAGCTAGGATTCTCAGACCAGCATCTGTGTGGGCTAGTTTCTGCCATGAAACTGTGTAGAAGGGCGAGGAGGAGGAGGATACAGGCTGTTCATGGAGCAGCAATTGGGGGAGCCCCTTGCGTCATCACAGGGAGCTGTGACCATTTCGTGTCACGTGACATTAGTGCTCTGAAAGGAACAAGTTTGAGCTGCCCTACACCTGAGCTGCCCTGTGGGTCTCAGGCAGCGCTTTTGGCCACTCTGATGGCAGCCTGCTTTGCCAGGAAAGCTGTTCCAGGCTTTTGTTGTTACCAAAACAAGGAGAACATGACCAACTTAACACGCAGTTCTGGCCAGCATAGAGGGACATCTGTAATCGAGTGGGGTATTAGCGGAGTACCATGTCCAGCAAATAAGCTCCAAATGAGCTTGTCCTGATGAAGACACGGTAGACTCCAGGCTCCTGGTGTTCATGTCTTGTGCTAAGAAACCTAGGCTTGTGATTCACTCGGCTGTGGTGGAGCCTGGAAGTTCCACAGAGCGGTATAAAGTAGGCCCCAGGGAAGGCAAGTCTCCTGACACAGGGCTCTGCTGTCCTGTGTTCCCCTTCACACTCTTAGATTTGGTCAGAAAGCTGGTTTAAAACATTCACTTCAAAATAAGTTATTTATTTGTATATGTTCAATAAATATAGTTTTAATTTATATATGTACATATTGGACACCCATGAGACATCCTGTCAGGATTCTCACAGTGTTCTCATTCTATGACCCTCCCAAAGCTACAGGCATGACCCCAGCCGTCAATGGCACAGGTTTGCTTTGTGTGGAACCAGGTGGACAGAGGGCCAGGCTAGCTCCTTTTTGTGAGCTATTGGGTCTCTGGATCATGGGAGGAGCCCCGCCTTTTGGAATCTCTTTTTGTCTGAGACCACAGTGTTTCTTGGGGTCTACTTTTGTCACAGTTTGGCAAAGATGGCATCAGGTTTCACAGGTCCCCTCCACTTCCGTGTCCGTTCACTAATCCTTTACATACAAATACCACGCTGGCCTGTGGGCTTGCTTGGTCCCTGACTGGGGCACTCACTGTCACACAGTCTCACGTACCAGTGTTCTTCAAGGGTGAGCATGGGTCAGTCAGTTCATCCCAGGTGCCAGGATGACCTGCAAGCTGGGTCTGGCTCCAGCGCATCCAGAATCTCCCAGAGTCCTTGCTGTGTCCCTGCCCAGTCTGTCTCTCTCCTATGCACGCTTTGTACTGGGTACCGCCTCACCCAGCTGTCCACCTCAGCTGTCCACTTGCCCAATTTGCTTTTGACTCTTTCTTTGTCACTAAGCCCATGCTGATGGACTGGAGACTTGGCACTTTTAGAAAATCCACTTTGAAAAACAGTGTCCCTGGCCCCGAGGTCCCCAAGGGAAGGCTTGCACTGTGTGGGGGACTGCAGTCCTCCAGCTAGAATTCACATGCAAGCAGCAACAGGGGTGTCCCTGGTCTCTCTTCCCAAAGACCAGGGAAATGCCTACCTGCACCAGCCTACCAGCAGCTGACATCTACCCTGTGCTCTGGGGATATCTGAGCCAAGCAAGCGAGTCCTCCATTCACACCCACCCTCACCAGCAGACAGAACACCCCCATGGTCCATTCTATGGGTGTGGCACATCAAAATGATGGACTGTTGTCTTTCTTCTCCTCCTCTTCTTTTTTCTAAAGTACTCTTAAACCAGAAACATTTCAAATCCGTGACATATTTCTAAAGTAATTGAATGTCTGGGTCCTTTTCCCACTGACATACCACTAGCCACACCAGAGGGCAGGTTTCTACTGTGAAATAAACTGAAAGTAACTGTCTGCACTCTGTTCGGCCTCAGGAAGAGGTTGAAGCAGTGTGTGGCCACGTCAATGGCATGGGAAACCCACCCCTTCATTTTGAGAGATATCCTTTGCCAGTAGCTGGGAACAATACTGGTTTTGGAAACCTCGGCTTCCCACACACTGGATTGGATTGTCCTTTCCAAGTGGGGTCTTCAATTCACAATTCGTAGGGACCAAAGGTGTTTCTGACATGACAATGTTTTTAATTGATTTTCTAGCAAAGGTTTACTTTACATTTTAACACCATTTCTACATTTTAGGTATTCCAAATGAATTGCTCGTGGCTCTAAGTTGTAAAATGTTTTTCACATTATGAATGTAATTATTTCCTTATTGTATTTTTTAAAAAAAAACTAAAGTCATATTTAAAATAATCTTGGAAAGACACAGGCAAAGAAAAGAGAAAGTCTTTTTTTAATTATGTTGGTAGCCCATTTGAAATAATTGTAAATATATTTTGATTGTGCCGCTCAATGTATTTAATTCAGAAAGTAAAATTTTTATGCAAAGAGACTTGTGATGAAAAATCCTAGTTTTCAGCCCATTTCCCCCATTTTGTAGTCACCTCATCCAACTTTTCTGCTTTACAAACTGATTTTTCTACTGTTGTAACTATGTACCCCTCGACTGGCGCCCATTGGCGGGACTTGTTTGTGTATTAATAAAACTGTGCTGTGCGGCCCAGCCTCATGTCCTCCTGACAGTGGCTTGCCGTGCAGTCCAAGCTATCCACAGTTGCCGGAACCATCATTTCTGGGGGTATCAGAGGTCACAGGACAGGTGGGAGGGGCTGGATCTCACTGGTGAAGGGGAAATCCCTCCGTTTTAGAGGATCCCTGAGCATTTTTTTTTTAAAAAGTAGTTTTGGTCTGTGGACCTGAGTCTCTAACTCAGTAGACATGGTCACTGCCTCCTCACCTCCTAGCTCCATGCCAAGTGCCGGAAACAGAACCGAATCCCCTGGGTGCCTGCTCTCGGGGAGCCTAAAGAACACAGGTGTGCTGCATTCCTCCTGAGCTGGAGATGGGTGCCCAAGCTGCTGCAGAGCCCTGATGAAGGTGGAGAGCCTGGAGATATATGCTTCCTCATGCCCTCGGTTCCCTTCCCACGTCCATGTGGCTACATCACTGAGTGCGTGAGGCTCAAAACCCTTCCTGCTCCCTGCGATCCACCAGTGGCTTTTGGATTCCCCTTAGCCAGCAGAAGAGCCCTTGCGGGTGCGTGCTTGCTTTCTGAACATTGCTATATCCGTATCTGCTAGCTTTAAAAACCAGCTTTTCAAGTTTTTTCCCCTTTTATAAACATGTCACCCCGGACAGAAACTCAGCCACATGTACCTTCTCATCAGCACTCCACAGAGACCTTAAGTGTCCCGTCAACCCTGCGGCCTTGTACTCAGTCAACTCTTGACGGGACAACTTCAGGCTGCAGTCATGGACCTGCACAGACTCATTGCAAGCTTACTTTGTGTAGCTCGTGCCTGAGGAGGGTCCAGAGGCTGCTGGACTCCTGCCTCCTGGCACACTGGGAAAGAAATCACTTAGCAACAGTGATTGGAAACCCACAGTCTATTATCACAGCCCATCTCCTGCATCTTAGAACCAAGGCTGGGCCACCGAAGACCATGCTTAACCCTGGTCCAGGAATTACCACGTCAACGTCTCTGGTTGTTCCTGGTGCCAAAGGCAGAGACCCTTGATGGCATTCATCTGTGGGTGTTCTGGCCACCTTGCCTTTTTATTCCTTTATTTGGAAGCTGCACTCGGACTTTCTAGCTGACGGGTGGTGTAGGAGACACCATAACATGAACCAAAAGTCTCCTCTATACTCCATGGGAGGGAGATGTGGGGCCCAGAGGTGTTGCACTCTTTTGGTCACCCAAGGACACGTTCCTGCCACTGCACCCGATCAGAAGACCATGATGAGGATGCTCTCCACTCGGCTTCAAGCCTCTAGGGGCCCTCCTGCCTTTTGTCAGCTTCCCCATTTGCCTCAGTGACCATTTTCTCCCTCGCCTCTCGCCTGCTGCTGTGGTACCCTGTCCTGGGCTGGGCACGTTATTCTCTTTGCCTCCACCCTCTGCTCTGGGCCACACCACACTTGAGCACGCTGCCTCTCCGTGCTGTGACTTCTAAGCTGGATGCTGTCCCGTCTCAGCTCCCCTCTCCCCAGGAGCACATCTGGGGCGCAGTGGGCAATGGTGGGCCAGCACTTACATCTCGCCTCCAGCCTGTCTATTCCTCGGAGCTTGACCCCTGCACATCACGCACTCTGCTCCCTACACAACGCCTGCCATTAGGGTTTCAGGCTCCAAGCTAGGCACTAAGTGACATCTCTCCAGCCGCAGCTGAGTTCCACTGGCCTTGTCCTCACTGCAACCACATGGCCCAGGCTCCTTGAGCTGATTATGGCTTCCTTTCCTAGCTTCCCCTATTGACCTTGAGTGACCTGAGGGCCGGGGGAGCCATTTCCCTTTCCTGACCTCATTCTTGACCAGGGCTCCCTCTCCCTTCTCACCTCTTAGCCCTCCTGGTCCCACCGATGTAAGAAGTGAATCCCTATGCCCCATTTTAAGTATGAGGTATGTAAAGAGCACACCAGAGAATTGCAGCTACGGGAGGTACTAGGCCCCTGTCTTCCTTAGCTTGCAGCTGGTGCCCGCTTGCCTTGGCTCTCGCAGTTTATCCTAGGGTTGGAAAGTTCCATGTAGCTATGTGATGGAGCAGAAATGGGAGAATCTTGGGACTCAGAGATGGAGAGTTTAGATAGCAATTACACTAGACCATTAAAGAGTGTACCTCCCTAAAGAACTCAGCCAAGGAAGAATCAGGCGGAAGGGAAATGTGATTAGGAACGTAGTCACCATTCCCACCCCCCCCCCACTAAATCTGTGCCTTTTCTCTAGGCTGACCCACAACTCTGTGAGGTCATAAAATTAACCGCATCACTTTAACTGCTGGGAGTCTCCAATGCTCTTAATAGGAAGTGAGGATGTGTGTCTCACGCTGGCTGGTCCCTGCTGAGTGACCATGCCAAGCAGACACCTGCTGTGCTCATGGGTGGTCTGAGAATCCCCAGATCTGGCTGGCACTGCAACTCAGAGTCCCCCTCTGCTGTGGAGTGGCTTGCACATCCGCTTCAGGGCGACTGCCAGAATGGCCCGTGGAGCTGTGGGATGTGCCTTGTGCAGGAATAGATGCACAGCCAAGACTGAAGCTGTCACTATGGCTGGGTTGCCATTGCCCCATCACTGCTCAGCTGGCAGGCACAGCTCAAGACTGCCTTCTGAGCCAAGATCTAGGTAGGTCATTAACAGAGCTGAACATGTGGGCCGCAGTGATGTTAGCTGAAGGCTGTCAATGCTGCTGTTAGCCCAGCGGTGGGCCAAGTGCTGTGGGCATCCTGGGTCTGGACACGCTAGGCCTGGGATGCCTGTGACAAACAGTCTCATCCAAGGGAACATCACCACGGAGTTCACCGTGGTGGAACCTTGCTTGGCTGCTATCCCTGCACCCTGAGGTACCTCCGTGGTCAGTCATCCTGGTATGAGGAACAGGAACCAAGGATGTTTCTCACAGCCCTCGTGGGAGGTTTGCTGGGCCAGGCATCCATGTGCTGCCTCGCTGAGCGACTACAGACATCCCCACACAGAATCTCCTCCTCTCCCTGTGAATCCTGTGCCTCTGCAAGTCACCAGGCACTCAGTGTGGTGCCCTCAGCCAAGACCTGAGAGCACGAGGCTCTGTGGCATCTGCTGTTCATCTCTGAAGGAAGTCAGGACAGGAATTCACGCAGGGCAGGACCCTGGAGGCAGGAGTTACGGAGGTCA